TAGGGGATGGGCTGTAGGGGATGGGCTGTAGGGGATGGGCTGTAGGGGATGGGCTGTAGGGGATGGGCTGTAGGGGATGGGCTGTTAGGGGATAGTGCGGTGACAAGATGAAAATACGGAAGACAACACCTGGAAGTCCAGCCTGGAAATACTCAAGACTGGGGGCGAGGAAGCCTAACATCATGCCCCAGAACATGGAAAGTTATAGGCAATCAGGGAGCCTGGAATGCTCAAGACTGGGAGTGAGGACGCCTAAGATCCATACCTTGAACCTCGTATACTCGGGGCAATCAGGGGCTCGGGGTGACAACACTTAGAGAAGGCGAGCCTGGAAATGCCTAAGCTAGGGAGTGAGGACGCCTAACATCATGCCCCAGAACCTCGTAAGCTTAGGGCAATTAGGGACTCCGGGGGAGGGGTTCCGGACATGTCCGTGGGCGCTCTCGGGCGACTCTTGGTCATGGAGGGTGATTGAAGTGGCAAGACTCGAAAGAAAAAGAGAAGAAAAATGAAATCGACGGGGCATTCGAGTCGCCGCGACAAGTGCGGAGAAAATTGGAGAAAGCGGGGTGGGGGGGACTGGGTGGGGAGCTGGTCGATTCTGATTGACGGAATTTGACCGGGCAGAATTCACCCTGCTCAGTACGATTGGCTGCCTCGAAACTCAAAATGCAAACGTGCAGACCTCGAATTTTCTGACAATTGAATTATTTCCATGTCGACGCCCGCCGTCCACCAGGCCAGAAATTGTGCGCCGAGCCAAAAGAGAAAAAAGGTCGTGGGCCATGCAGAAGATTGATATCATGTGTTGGTGGGAGGCTACAGATATCACGTCCTGAGAGATGGAATCGATGAATTATAGTACCAAGGACTATCTGGAACGGTTGCAGGAACAACAACAATGACATACCAGAGGTGGCGTCGACAATTTGACACGGGAGGGTACTGACACGGTAGGGTCCTGACACGAAGAATTGGTGCTGAGGTAGAGAATCCTGATCGGACGCAGCACGTACTGACACGGACGTTTGGCCCTGGCATGCAGCCAAATCTGAAACAGACACAAGCATGAAAACTCGCTCGCTTACTGAAACTCTCCTGAAACACGGCCTGCATGGCTAAGCGAGAAAATGGTGTTTTTCTTCTGCGGGCAGCCTGCTCGCCCTCGATGATCTGTCAAGTCCAGGTTGTAGAAGAGTGGGAGCCATTCTACGGCCACTGAGCTGCTTCTCTGAGAATGTGCGTACACAGTCAAATGCTCCATATTGCACACACTGACCTCCAAGGCCTTCGACTGTGCTGGAACGCGCAGATCTGGACCGGTCAGTATGATACTGTCCTTTCTGCTTGTGGCTGTCATTGCTTGCCGGCGCCAAACATTCAGGGCTCGAGGCGCCCTCAGCGTTCTATGCATTTGTTGACAAAGGCTTGTCTCGTGCCTGCAAGCCCTGAGGTATTGCAGAGATCACATTCTTTGTGTTCTGTCCGTCCCCGATGTTTCCAGATTCATCTCTTGCCAGTGTCTCGCGAGGTTTTTTTGCATGTGATTCGGTATGCAATTTGCCGTGGATGATTGCCTGCCGAACCGAGAGTGGGAATTCGGCTATTAAAGGTGTTGCCATGACGACCTCGCCAAGACAACCACGTCTGTACTTTCGGTTGACAGCCTTCGGCAAAAAAGCAGAATTCCGCGGCATGATAGGTGTAGGTCCAGACACTGTCCACAGCTGCGACTGACACAAACAACGGAGCTGTAGTCCTACACCTGATTCTTACAGCCAGTATGGAAGTTGTCGGATTCGCGCACGGTGTCGCTCCAGCGAGCAGAAATGCCTTTTTGAGCAGCTGGACTTGCAGCGTGGAATCTGGTGCAAGTTGCTTCTGACCTGACGGCGACTGACAGTGGATCTGCCGCTTTGGGACTAGCTTGGTATGCGCCTTGACTCCCTTTCCTCCCTTTGATGGAGGTGTCGAATCAATCACACAGGGCATTCCAGCCCCTTGATACAGCCAGGCAATGGCCAATGCTATGCTTCTGTAGATTGATTTCTGTGCAGAGAAGCGCAAAGGCCACACAAAATGGTTGTCACACCACATTGCCCGCAATTCGTTCTTGCATCGCCGAGGTTTCGATTCATCTGATCTTTCTCTTCGGACAATTACTGAATTCCAAACACTTTGTGTCGTCAGAATGCGAGCCCAAAAGATCAAGAGGTGTTGGCGTCAGAGCCAGTGCTAATACTGGACATCCTTCAAAGAGAATGTTACGGGTGAGGCTGGAATACTCCAGCGCCGCAGCAACGCAACAATGAACCCGACGCCACTTGATGAACAAAGTGCTTCGTATCACTCCAAGCTTCACATACCATATTGAGAGTGGAATGCGAGCGCGGCAAACCACCTTGACGCATGAACACCCTTCCAGGCGCCGAAGATTGCGCTCATTTCTGTTTATATCCCGTTATGCCAACCTCTTGCTTCTTTACCATGTCTCATTTCAGGAGCGTGTCTCGATAGATTCTCCGTCATTGAATGACACCTTGGTTTTCTGCTCACCCTGAAAGACTTTTCAGCATGTGGACGACGCGCATGCTCGGCCGCACAGACAGGTATGACTTGACCCATTTACGGCCAACGGTCCTCCTGGAAAAGGACGTGGAAATCTTCGACAATGGGTGGGGCACCAGATGGCTGTCTATATAGGCTTGACGAGTTAGGCCTGCAATCGCTGGATCTGGCCGAAAGGGTACCACGACCAAATTCTTTGGTTTCTCGCGCCCAGATGTCGGTATGGATCAGCCCAGGCCCTGGTTTTCGCACGCATACAAGAGCTTAGACTAGCTGAATGGATGTTTTCGTCCTGTATTCGTAGGCCACAGCAAAGACTTGCAAAGTGAACCACCTTCTCCTCTTTTCTTTGTCATACTGAACAGCTCCGAGATGGTATGAGTTTTGCTACAGCGAAGTGTAGCTGTCAGAAGGAGAGAAGAGAATAAAGCGCATGACGGAAGGTGCACGCTCGTGTCACGGATATCAAGGAACAAGATGAATTCGACAAGGTCGATGAGCCGCAGGCTATCCTGGAACAAGATGTGATCAGGAACGATCTGTCTAGTATTCGCTCTCTAAAAGCTCAACTGAACTAGTCTCTGTGAAAAGAAAACACTTGCAAGGTGCCTCTGGGCTGTTTGTATCCATGCATGTCTGTGGGTATTGGATTACATCGATGTCTGAGTTGCAGAAAGGTCTGCAATGAATCCCCATCAAGTATGCCAACGCTCAGCCTTGCGTTCTGTCCATGCCGCAGCCTCGTCAACTTCTCCGCCAATCACGCGGGGTCTTTGGGCTTTGTACGTGTACCCCAGTACAATACTCCTGACTACTTTGATGGCGTTTGTCCTCTCAATATCGACTCCCCCAAGGCTCACGACTGTAGTGACTGCGTACACCAATGCCACGAATTGTGTGTGATGATTGACTTCCCAGGCCGTTCCTCCCACGCACAGTGAAATCGAGTCATCAGAGGCAGTTTGGTGACAGGCTCGCTGGTGACTGGTGCTGTTAAAATGTGACTTGCTCGAAAAGCTCACTGGCTACAAAGGGGGAAAATCGCACTGCCTTTCACAATGGCAGTGACGAAAACCTGTTGGAACACTTCACCATCACTTCCTCAGGTCACTGCCTGGGGCAGCTTGCTCACCGGCCTTTGTGACACTGCCTGGGACCCATCCATTTCCTCTCCATAAATATCTCCCCTCTCCTCCAGCTCTCCCTCTTTCTCTCTCACACACCACCACATCTCCTCGCTTCTCTCCTCACAACTCTATTCTTCAATCTCCGAAATTCTTGCGAGAGGCAAGTAGGAGCCATGGGACTTTGTTAGAGTCCCATGGCTCCTACTTACCAACATCGAAGTCTTGCAAATTCTATCAACACTACACCTTCCCTTCACAACATACGATCCTGGTCAATCGCTATCTGCACTTAGCCATATGAGCAAGTCCAGCACATGCACCACAAAATCGACTCAACCTAATCTGGCCAAAACATCTGGGTCATCTTCTTGAACACGACAACATCTTCAACACCAACACCTCCAGACCTCAACTACTCCTGGCGATGACGCCACAGAGCCATTGATATTGGCTATATATAAAAATATCGGAGCCTGCTGCATCGGATCTTGCGATGGCTTGGCGGGTGCTGGGGGGGTCATTTAGCCGGTCGCTGCTCCTGCCCCTCATCGTGCTCCTGTCTGGTCCTCGTCCACGGGCCTATTCGCTGTTGGCTTCACCGACAGCCGACGTTCACCTAGCCCACAGCTCACAACCATGGCGAACGTGCAAGGCATCACGAAGGACAAGCCACCAGCGACATCCCCTAGCGACACCAAGACTCCCGACGCGTTGTCCTTGTCGACGGAGGCAAAAATGGAAGTCAATGATGTCTTCTTCCGTATCGAGCGCAACAGCAAGGGAGGGTGCAGAGGTCCGAGGTCCAAGCTTGGCAACAACAGAGGATTGATTACTTCGAAGCACTCGCCGCAGAGCAGCCACCGCCCATGGACCGCCAGATTCTATGGAAAATGGACGCTTTCACAAGAATCCTCAAGGTTCAGTCGGAGGCCAAAGCATGGTCGTAGGACCAGCTCTGGACCAAGATAGAGCCGTACAGATTGCGCGCACAACCTTCCCAGAATCTCCTCCGTGGACTCCTCCCGAAACAACTCAATCGTAGGCGACACGGTGATCTCAGTCGTGGGTGTGACGATTTGGACAGAGAATTGGGTGTCAGTCAGGCTGGTGTACGGCGAAGACTCCTGTCCCACCGAGTGCCCTACAAGGTTCCTCCGACGGCGCGAGATCTTCAAGCTAGACCTGAGCTCTCATACAAGATTGAAATCGCCGACAGCAGGTCCTACACGACAAACCCGAATCAGTATTACCGCCTCACCGCCACCTACGCGCAATTTGACAAGAAACTCGTCGTATCATCCAGGCCCAAAAGACTCCAGAAACGCTACTTGCCTCTCAACAGTGGCTCGCTGCGCCTTTAGCCTCGAGCGCACTGGTTGACACAAAACAATATCGTATCGAGAGCTCGTCTACTACAAGCGATGATGACATATTGGCGGGTATTGGTCCGCAACCTCCTCAGAAGGAGGCGACTAGTTTGGCCAACCCGAAACAGCACCCGAATCCCGCCGTATGGCAAATGCTTTATATATAAATCTACTCGTCAGTCCCTGTTCCTCTAGCTACAGAGAAGATACCTCCAGAGAATCCGACAAGCCAAGAGCAAAAGTGTCTCATTCGAGTGTACAACACGACTGACTTCTCAAAGCCGTCTTCCAACTACTGGGTACGATTGAAGTCCCAACTTACCTACGGTTCGATCGTCTTCCGCGAATTGGAGATATGATGTCCAGCACCGTGGCGCTACCTGTTTTGTCTACGACCAGTGTCAACGGACTGACTTCACAGACCTCGGCGACGATGGGTTCCATTATAGTCGTCTCTGGCGCGGGCGCAGAAGAAGAGGAGGAGGGGGGGAGCAGGAGCAGCGAGACCGGCGGAAGCGGCAGCAACACCAAACACACTGCTCCCTCTTCTTCATCATCTATTGCACCGAGCTCGATGCTGCTTTGACAATCTCCGAGTGAATGTCGTCAAAACGATCGTTTCTGCGCACGTGGCCCAGAGCGCAAAGATGATTCTGATCCCGCAGCACTTCAATGTGGAATTCAGCTCCTAGAGACACTGACAGATATGCAATCGGCGAACGAGATCAGCCAATCCGCTGCGACCGCAGAGCACAAGACGCTCCACGTGCTGGACAGACAATACCAGGGACTTGATGTGAAAGAGATGTCTCCTTTGGCTCAAGAGGGTCAAACTGTCGCTGAGATAGTCAATTACCCGAACAAGTCAAAGGGCAGCACACATGGCACTAAATACGCAGTCCAGCATATCTTCCGTATAGGTCCGCCTTCACCAAAGCACCCATGGCTCAAACTCCAGAAGCGCAGGCAACTCAGCCACCGCAAGCGCCGATAATCTCACGTCTTCAGCCGCGGCTCGCTTCTTCACCTCTCCAGGCGCAGACAAGCCAGCCTACTGGAGCGCAGTCAGAGCATGGACAGGAAATTGTCACGCTTGAGGAAACACTGATACATGGCAGAGACTGGGGTCAAAGACGGACTCGGTGGAGGATCAAGGTCCCTTGGCCGAGTCTTGCGTGGACTACTCCATAGGTCGGAATGACAGCTTTTTCAAATCGTCCATTTGTTCTTGTTCCATCTTGTGAAGTGCGCTCGCTCTCCCCATTTGCCGCCCGAATTTGTAAATTGTGTAAATGTAGTAAATTGGAATCAAGCACTTGCTCGTAAAGGGTGGTCCAATGTCTCTTTGCTTCATTGTCTTTTCTTGCCTTTCTTCGATCTCCTTTGTTACCTTTCCTCTCCCTGCCTCGCACGTTATCCTGTCTGTCATATTCAGGTTGCCAGTACCGAGTAGTGTGTGCAGGTTGCTACAACTGGAATCTCTTCTCCATCAGCAACCTGTTTACCTGGAATGCGACGCATTTCCAATGTCGAGACCATCCATGGACATGCGCGAGCGCTTTTCTGCTTTCTCTTGACCCCACAGCTTACGAATTGGTCCGAGAAACGGTTATGCAAGTCGCCGTACCAGAATTCAGTCGACGCTTTCTGCCAGGTGGTCGGAAGCTAAGGGTGAGGGTTGCAGACAGGACTTGAAGCATTTTCTCGGTGTTGCTTCGGGATTCACTCGGTGCTTTCTCGGAATTTTCCCGCTCAAGTCTCGGTTCCGAATAGGAGATCTGCTGTATCCCTTCCCTGGGTGTTTTCGGTATTCCTTTGGTTCACTGTCGACTCTCGATGTTCCTTCAGGCTGTGTTGGTCTCCATCTCCTGCCCCTGGCCTCGCACCCTTCATCTTTCCGCCCTGTCAGATGTTTCGGAGATTGAACCACGCTGCTGGGATCATTCCTGCCCCTCCAAGCAGCCTGCGCGTGTGAGAGTTTTGTGCAAGGCAAATGCAACAAGCGCGACGACATTCCGAACAACTCCAAGCTGCAATATCGATTCGCTGTTGTGTCCTTCGTTGACCAAGTTTTTAGCCAGCGAGTAGGGGTGATTGGATCAACAAGTGGAGGCGTGGGCGTAGGACGTTCACTCTCCAGTTGGTTGTGCGCGGTCCTGCGACAGCTGTCAATGCTTAGTTGGCTCGTTGCTCGAATTGAAACACGCATAATACGCCCTGAATGCTTTCTTTGGAATCTAGGTCCACATCCCAGGACTTCACTTGCATGATTCTCTCCTGCCATAGCTTCGATTTCTTCATGTGTTGTCTTGCAGGAGTATTACGCCCTGCATGTGCAATGGATTGTTATGTAGGGATACTGATCTCAAAAATACTCGGAGGAAGCAGCTTGAGAAGGAAGGTCAAAGATTTCAGCATTTTGTTGTAAAAGTAGGGAGAGGAAAGCTCGCGATCTTGTGTGAGAGATCAAACAGAAAATTGTGAAAGGTGTCAAGAATATCAAGAGCAAAGGTTTTTCAAAGGGGTGCAGGTGGATCTGGGAAGACAAAGCCGTCGGCTGTATACACCGAGGCCTTCTGAATCGTTCCGGGATATGATTTCAGTTGATCTGTCTTTCCGGGATTGCTGTGTCATGGTGCATTGATGGTGGAGTGCAGATTTGCATTTCTCCTTGTGCAAGTCGGCTCGGCTTGAAACGCTCGGTTTGAAAGGCTCGGCTTGAAAGGCTTGACAAGCATCAGCCTTGCACAATGACGGCGCGCCGATTTGATCGTGTATCCTTTTGCACCTCCAAGCTCAAGATGTTTCTCATTCCTGGTGAACTCGATGGAGCCCGCCACAGATAAGATGGATCTTCCCAACAGTCCGCCCACCAGGATGGCGCTACTAGCAACACTTTTTGTAGAAGAAGAATAGTCTGAACAGGTTTATGGACTCGTTCTCCCAATTCCTGGCTACGTCGCTACTCAAAGAGAATGTCAACCAATCGTACCAGCAAGCGAGTGTCTTAGGGCAGAGCAAATGATCCTTGGAGAACGGACAATTCACTTCGAAGAGCCTCTCGAGGAGATGAGGAAGCGGAAGAAAGAAGACAAAGAGCACGCAGAAGGCTACACAGTGAAGTGATGGGGCAAAAGGAAGCTGCCCAAGAGCCTCGACTGCTGTGAAGAAGGAGACGGCAGTGACTTGCAAGGCAACGATACAAACGCGGATTGCGTGCACTCCTTTCAATATATATATCACCGGTTCTTTTGTTTCTTCCGTCCTTCCTCCCATCTTCCCGTCAAACACTGTGTAACTTCTATCGAGACATCATGGATTCAACCTCCGCATCATCTTCAAGCAATTCCCCAGGGCCCAGTGCTCCTGCGCAGCCTGACGTGGACCAACCACCGACACAGTCCGCCCCACCGCCAGCCTCTCAATCTGATCAACTCCTGCAGGTTCAGACAATTCTCGAAGACGTCGCATCTGGCAAGGTTCACCTTCCGCAGGAACTCGTCATGGGCTTTACTCTTTGTCAAGACTCCTGGCACCGACTTCAGGGAGACCCTAACCTTGAGTTGTGCGTTGGAAGGTAAGTGTCACCACTCTCATTCTCTGACATTTGTACTGACATGTTTTCTTCAGGAACGAACTCTGCGTCGCATACGATGCCTCACTTTCACTTGTCACCATCAAGGCAGGACCTCCGCTGAACGACATGCACCGTATTATCCTCGAATTCCTTTCGGATCTCCAACGTCGTACTCGATCGACCTTCGCATCGATGTGAAATCTAAAGTTCGATTCGGCTCAGTCGTTGCCTCAGAGACTTCAAAGATGCATATGTGTCAACGGTAAATCAACCTGGGTCATCAATTCAGTGAGACTAGAACGATACTAACATTTGGGTAGCCCGCATATCATCATCGAAATCGAGCGTGGTCGCAGTCTTTCTCAAGTCTCTGCGCTTTGGCCCCAATCTATTTGCAAGGCAAACCCGAGCTTCGACAAGTCAGATTGCTCAAAACCATGGAGGCTGCCGTGTACGCAGGCTCAACCTTCTGCCCACACATACATTGTTTGCTACGAACTGCAATGAGATCAGGAGAGATGACGCAACTGGTGGTGTTTGGACGGTGTTGTCAAGCTAGTGGGCGAAGCCACATTGCCATGGGAGATGTGGGAAGGAAGCGAGAGTATTCAAACACAGGTTTTGGCTATGGGGCTGATACTGAGCTTAATGTAGTCGAGGAGCTCAGGGTTCTCTTGAGGCGAGCTGCATGTAACGATTCTCACTGGCAGGTAAGGGCTTAGTGCTCTGCCACCGACCAAATCGTTCGAGCACCAACATAGAGCCCTGCATGCCTTGCGCATTTCCAAACAATAAGGCTCTTTCCACCACATGAGCTCCAGGTAGACAATTCAGAAATGGTCTTTCGCCCCCATCATCGGTCAATCCCAGCTCTTTCTTATTTTGCTTGTCAGAGTGTGACTGACCTGAAACGAACTCATGCACCCCCTACGAAACCCTTACCCACGAACATTTTTGGAAGAGCTCTAACCGTCTCTGCGCCGACAGCTACGCCGCTGTATACAAAAGGCCCTCGGAGAACTTGTTTGGGTCAATTCTCGCTGTCAGTACGCATTACAAATGAACCTAGCAATGTGCCTATGAAGCCATGTCATGGTTTCTTGACTCTAAGATTGTAGTCGTATCTGGGATTCGCATGTGGCCTGCAACGGCTTAAGGGGAATCGACTTGCACGGCCGTCATTATCGTGATTCTAGGGTGTCACGTCACAAACACTCAAACAGGGAGGAGCTACTTGTTTTTCGTTGATGAATTTCTCTGCGTTGAGCTATCTAAGCTTGTCCCAATTCGCGAGCCAAGGTGATCTTGAAGGCCCGTTCGTCCAGTACCGGGTTGATTGAGTTTGCCAATGAATAGTGCTTCGAAGACATGATGGTCAGTTGATATGGCGTCAGCTTCGCCCGCCCCAGCACTCATTGTCCGGCTTCGTGTACTGAACTGCAGAATACCCAGATTCGCTTTTTATATAGATACCTCTTCACTCTCTCAGTCTCTCAATCCCTCAGATTGACTCTTCTCATAGCCTGCTCTGACCCGAGCGAGGGAATCGCGGTTCTTGGGTTCACCACAGCGTTGATAGGAGATCTTCCGCGGACCGTGTAGGAGCTTCGTCTTGGAGAGTACGATCGAGGTTGTTGTCACAGAGTTTATGGGAAGGCCTTCGAGTCGAGAGGTCAAGCTCTGCCAGATGCTGAACGATCGAGCCTTCGGTAAAGATGAGACGACCACCAAGTCGAGAACCCGGTAGGAGAGAGCATTGAAGGTCGATATCAACAGTTAAATGCTGGACGATCGAGCCTTCGAGTCGAGAGGTCACGAAGCTTCGACAGATGCTGGACGATTGAGCCTTCGGTGAATATTGGACGGCCACCAAGTCGAGATCCCGGTAGGAGAGAGCATTGAATGTCGACATCCACAGTTTGCGAGTGAGGGTTCTAAGACGGGAGACGAGATGGATGGCTTTGCTCGAGGAAGAGGAAGATGGGATGGCCAACAAATCGAGCTCCCGGTAGGAGAGAGCATTGAAGGTCGACATCCACAGTTTGCGAGTGAGGGTTCTAAGACGGGAGATGAGGTGGATGGCTTTGCTCGAGGAAGAGCAAGATGGACCATCGTCTGAACCTGTTGCAAGCACCTGGAATCCCCATGCCAGAAATCGCGAAGATGCGCGATTGATATGTTCTCCGCGGTAGAGGTCTTTTTCCAATCGATCATCTCGTGGACGAGATCCTTTTCCAACCTCTCATCCCGTGGACCGACGCCCCCGTTGCTGCATCGTGAGACCAGTTGCTGGTTCCGTGTCTTTTAACGAAGTGGTCCTTCTCGAGTCTCTCATCCCGCGGACCGACGCCATCGTACTCCTCTTTCCATTCGTACTTTGCAGCGTCGTGAGACCAATCGCTGGCCGCATGTTGGCTGATGGCAACCTCATCGGCTTCAGCTTCGTCTTCAGCCGCGGCTTCGGCTTCAGCATCGTCAGAGCCACGATGAGAATAAGTGGTTCAGCTCGGACTCGATCGCGGGCAGGATTGATGGCTTCTTTCGAGAGGCGACCGAAAACCCTTCCATCACCAATTGTTGGCGACGAAGAACGGCAAATCAGCAATGATTGCGCCCACAATCCCGGCGATGCGGTCGTTTCGTCGCAGAAGTCGGGGACCAGTGACGCTTCTTTGGTGCGTGGTGCAATTCCCGATATGATATATATATACATAGAGGCAAGCAACCCATCTTGGGGCTGTCAAGCTCTTCGTCGATGCGACGTTCAGGGAGACGGTTGGGGTAGTCGCTTGTCTTGATCGCATCTGCGTCTTTCTCAGACAGGTCCATCCTGGAAGCAAGGTCAGTCAGAACCTTTTGGAGAGTGCTTCTTGATGGACATACTCGCTGGACCCAAACCCCAGGATGGATGGGATCGGGCTCGGTTTCGACCGCCAGGACAGGTGGGATCGGGTTCGGTTTCGACACCACCAGAATAGGATGGGATCGAGCTTGGTTGAGGCGAGCTGTCAGACACAGCAGCAAGGGAGCTTTTGAAGCTGAGTATCCCATCACATGCTGGCTGGGGTTGGCGAAACTTCCAGGCAAGTGAGCTGGATCAATGTCTGCAGCGAAAGAGCAGGAAAGCGGTGGAGTTTGATTCTGCTCCTGATCCAGTAGAGAGCCTTCATTTTCTTCACTGAATCCTGGTCTTCCGAGACTTTGGCGTTATTGTCATTGCTGGTTGCATCAGTCTCTGTCTGGGCGTCAGGATTCTTGGAGGAATCATACCTTGGAACGATCCCGAAAGACTGGCGAAGGTCTGCAACATCTCGAGGAGAGACCCATGTGTCTGTATTTATATAGGTTTTTGGTGAAAGTTGGAGAGCTGGAATTTGCAGCTCATGTTCGTCGGAGGAGAAGACGCAGGTTGGTGCCTTGTGTGTTTGGAGGAACTTTGGTGGTATGATCTGGCCTCGACACCCGTCTAATTTAGACTGGTGTCGAGGCTGATGTTAGAGTGGTGGATCATGGTTGGAGGTCTGGCAAGCTTTTTGGCCTGATGGTGGTGAAGGGGTTGGAGAAGTTTGATGAGCCGAGAAAGTTTCCATGATGAGCAAAAGTGCAGGAAGCAGGAATGCTTGCAAAGTGTGTCGAACGGTGATGCTGAAGATGAGCAGGAAGAAGGAAGGCTCAGCAAGGGAAAGAAGAATAAATAGTCCATCCAACAGGTTCAACCTGAGGGTAAGGCTGTGGACTAGAAAGTCTGTTGAATGAATCATCACTGCTTGTGATTCTTTGACGAGTATCTCCAAGACCCTTGCCATGATAAGCAAGGGTCTTGGAGAGAAGAATGAGTCGCGAGGTGTATTGGGTGATGGTGCTGATGATGATGAGGAGGAAGAAGGGTGGAAGGGGGAAAGAAGCCGGCTTAAGTAAAGACGCGGTGGGCGTGTCCCGAACCAAGACTGCTGGAGGGGTTTTCACTGCCTTGGGAGATTCACTACTGCCTATCTCTCTGTGACGCTTCTAAGAGTCACTGGGAGACTAACTGCCCCCACAGGTGTTCAATGGAACTCGGCAGAGAGTGACAAAGAAGCTGTTGGGCCATCCATTGTTGACGCGTCGTTCGATCTTCAATAGAGACAATGAGGACCCATCAGCTGCGTACCCGGGCTCTATCCTGCCTTTGGTACGTCACCAAAGACCTCTCTATAGCCATAATGGCAAAATGCGCAGCATGCGGATTCACAAGATCGATCTCCTGTAGTGGCCAGTGAGGTGCAAAGGCGGGTGGCTCTACGTCCCCAGATGGACCTGTGGAATGCCTAAATTACACAATAGGAACTCCTTCCCATAATTGAGCAAGGATATGGTATAGGAGCTTCTCCAACAACTGGGCATTTCTTGTTGCAAGACCTATTGCAAAGTGTTCGCCAACAGCCTTTCAGCCTTATGCAGCAAAGTGGAGTCGCAGCCTGACCAGTTTCAGCATGTCGCAACAGCCGTATACAGGAAGACATCTGGACCACAAAGCTGCAGAGTCGATGGCAGGGTGATGAAAATGGTACCTAGGTGGTCTCATGACGCGCATTAACAATCCAGAACATTTGGGACGCGCCTTGGTTTTCTTCGGGGCGGTGATATAGGCTTGCAGTGGCGATGGACTCGCCCAGCACCCATTCGTTGTATGGTCCTCCTTCATGCTCAATACAATGCCATCCCCAACCAAGATTTTGTAAGGGCTAGGATATCCAGCGCGAGTGTGCACCTTCAAGGTTGAAGACAGCGATCCGATCAAAACTAGTTTCCATGGCATGGCGTTTCCCTTTCAATGGATTTGTCTTTGCAGATTGCGTTGCTTTATCTGTTTGCCCGACCGAAACGTCGCCGCGCATTCATAATTCTGCTTTGCGCTTGTCGGTGTGGGCTGGCGGTGAGCTTGATGCGCTATTTTTCACAGAGACATTACACACGTGGGTCATGAAACGAATTGCATTAACATTTACGTCCCTCGCTCTCTCTAGTTAGAACGACATCTCGCCTGTCTGTCTGCTCGTCCCGAGAACAGACAGGAAGAGAACTGGCTGGTAAGATCTAGGAGAGCACGCAGGGGGAAGGGGGGCCATAATGGCATGGAATTGTGGCAATGCCTTTTCTTATTGTATCTTGTCTGTCTTAGTCTGCTACACAGCGTCTGTGACTCGCATCTATCAGGCCATCAGGCTAGCCCTTGAATGAAATGGTTCAAAGTCATGAGAACCTATCCGCTGCCCTGGGAAACATAAACAGTGAGGACGCTTAACGGCACTGACCAGCATAGTCTCACACAGTGAACGTGAGAACTCGATCGTTACTGTGTGATAGTGCTTGGTCTCAAGTTGCAGGGTTTAGGGGCATGGTTTTGAAGCGGTATCATTCATGATTCCTTGCCATCCACGATCTTGAAAATCTCTTCCACAGACAACTCGATGGTCTTCTCGCGGAGAGACGGTGGGACGATATGATACGGGGCAATATCCAAGAGGGAGATTTCCAGTGGGTCACCGGGGATGAGGGCACCGTTCTCGTCGCGAATAACCTAAGGGCAAAGGTTAGTAGCTGTCGCAGAGAGGCGCAGGGATATACTGACTTGATCGTGAACTTCCAGCTCTCTGGCGCCAGAAACATCACAATTGCAGAGCTTCCACGTAAGGAGACTGACCTTCTTGGATCGGGGATGGTCGAAGTCGATCACAAGCAGCCATTGTACGCTTTGCTCACTTTGCAGAAGATGGAACTCAGCCAGCTCTTGGAGCCTCGCACGCTTCTGCGAAAAGGCAATCTCCACGCCGACACCATAGGAGGGTAAGTCGTCATTTCTGAGAAAGCCGTCCATTTGGTGCATCCCACTGTTGCTGTCTAGTGGCTTCGCCCCGCCCCGGTTATAAAAAAGCATGTTATGCATAAATGCGTGTTCCCTCCTGGAAGAGCCCAGACGGAATAGCTTGTTTCGCAAGGCTATGGAGAGGCCGAATAGGTAGTGCTCGTGAGCATCAGAGAGAATTTGGTAAGCAAATGTATGGGTTTGGGAGAAGTAGTCGAATCTGTTCTCCAAGGTCAGCAGGACTCACAATTTGGACTCCTTCCCTCACTCGGGCATACCGAGGTGTCCGATAGATTGTGGCAAGACTATTTTTGAGAATGACCCAGTCGTTTTCTCCAATTTGGTACTCTGTCCAGATGGACTGCTCATGAACCCGGGGCCGGGTGTCATCAGTCAGCATAGAGCAGATGATGAGGGGGACGATAGAGTGATCATTTGAACTTGTTGACGGATTCATCTCGTTCATGCCACCAGCAACGCTCACTGAGGCCGAAGCTTGGTGGGGGACAGGGCTGGTGATTGACCCAGGCGGGGTTTGAGTGGTATTGTCATCTCCATTAGGCTGAGCAGAGGAATCCATAGTGAGGATCAGTTTCGGACAGAGGAGGGGAGACAGTGGTTGATGAGATGAGAGAGAACAACAGCGAGAGAAGTGATGCTATAGACAACACGTATGCGGAAGTGCTATTCACGTACGGGGAGATTTGCCTGTGTAGTGAATGATAGTGGCTTCACCACATTTGCCTGCCGGTACAGGAATCTCTTCTCTTTGCGCACAATTTCACAGCACATGGTCGGGAAGAAGGCAGTTGGAGTTCACCTCATTGTTCCCCGCTATTCATCGTGAATCCTGCGTGCCCTGCAACCAACGAATGTGATCAAGTCAACTAAATCCAAGGCGTTCACCAGCGCGAAGAGTTGTTAATGATTGACGCAGCTGAATCAAGCTGAAATCACAGCTGTGCGGTCCTGAACTTTCAGGGCAGAACAAGCAAAGGGCCCAGTTAACTTCTATCTGAACTGGAACAAGGCTCTTAGCTAGCAATGCCGAGAACGGAATCAGTATCAGCATTCATCCTGCTCGTTGAAACCAAAGCCAAGTGCAGGTTTCAAGTGCATCTGAGATGGTTGATCCCACCACTGCAGCCACCGCCAACAACATATTACTCTGGAAACAAGATGATAGGACCGAGTGTGGTCTTGAATGAAGAACACAAGAGCAAGGAGTTCCGAGTTCATTGGTCGTGTGACCCGAGGAATCGAAAGATGGGACTATGTGAACTCCCCTCCGCCGTCCTTCCCTTGTCTGACCGCTCTATTCAGGAGATGTGCAGATGCATCTCATCCCAAGCCTGCGTTCGTGATCGGCCTGCATTGTTCATTATCCGCTCTTGCCCTGAGATCTTTGGTGTGGCAATGATTCCCCATTGCACATGGTTCTTGGAGGGTACCTCTGAAGTGGGGATTCACAGGATCTCGGTAAACTTCATCTTGGGTTAATTTGTGGAGGATCTCGCGGGCTGGCGGGTAATGCGTCTGCGGAGGCGGAACAAGGCGCCTCTCAGCGAAAGATCCGAGAACTTGCTGCAGGCCTCAAGCGCCGCATCCGCATTCCGGAGAAGAGATCGTCCAATCTTCCAAACTGGTCACCGTCATTGAAATGTTATTCGACCGAAACGCGAAAGGCTTTCCCCAACTAGGAAGGAAATATCTTTTGACATGACGACTAACACCTGAGTTCCACTGCCGGGAACTATTTGTCGATGGGCTATAACCAAGTAAGCCACCAGCCGTTCGCCTCAGAAAACGGCTTGACGACACTCTGAGCCAATCAACAGGCACCTCATGCCCCAAGCACATAAAGAGAGATTGTAGAAGGGCACGCAATGCATGCGGAACTGCACAGAGTATGGGAAATGAATGTGAGAGCGGTGGAGGGAAAGGTAATGGAGGTTGAAAGTGTGCCATGACTGGGGAGGATCTGGATATTGCGCCCTTTCAAAGGTCCTGCAAGGGTGTTAGGTAGAAGCTGGGGAGGAGAGGCGTCAGAGGGAGAATGGTTGAGGAGAGGGAAAGGAGATGGGCGACTATCATCTCTCCCCTCCCGTCAGTTGGGTGCCTCTCTTCATAGCACTGTGTTTTGGGGGTCTCTTTAACTAAACCTTTAACTAAATTTACTTGAAGCTCTTACCTAACGATCATTTATAGGTAAGCCTAAAGATCCCTTCAGGGTATGCGTTATGTATTCTAGGCATGCCTAATAGATACCACGACCAATGCCTTGCAACACAAAAGGCGCCTAACGAGGGAAGGGGAGATAGGCACTTGGCTTGAACCCACAGGCCAGAGCCAGTAGAAGCACGGGTCAGGCTTTGCATGCTTCAAAGAAGAAAAAGAGGTCGAGAAAATGATTCCAGCATGAGGGGGATGCTCGTCGCCGACGATTCTGAGCACGGGCCACCCACCCCCACGCATTCCTCGTATTTGATTATGTGTGATTGCAGCTTGCATGCAGGCGTCCATTGGACTGCGAATGTATGAGGCATTTTTGCTGCCAATCAGCGAGCAGGTGGCCGGATCAGTCGGCATCGTTGGGCAGCAATGCATTCGAGAACCACCAATCACTTGATGCTGATAAGGTGCCTGTCGCCATGCCTGGAGGTGATGAGATGATTGGGTAGTCAGTGCTTGATTTGCAAATACCTACGAGGCATGGTGATTCCGAAGGGGGATGATCCGACTGTGCGTTGTCCTTGCTTGTGATGCGCTGTCCATTGCCCTGCCCAATGCTTGCCCTGCCCAATGCTTGCCCTGCCCAATGCTTGCCCTGCCCAATGCTTGCCCTGTCCAATGCTTGCCCTGTCCATCGCCCTGTCCATCGCCCTGTCCATCGCCCTGTCCATCGCCCTGTCCATCGCCCTCTCCTCTGCGTTGGCCTCTGCGTTGGCCTCTGTCCGTTGTTCTTCCTCGTGACACGCTTGGATTTCCACATGCTCTCCAGCGAGCACTTTGCACCGTCCATTGGCTGCCCACTGTCCTTTGTTCTTCCTTGTGACACAGTGTGAGTCCTTTGCACCCGTTTGTGTAACAATTATGGTCCGTCGAGTATCTCCCCCGACTGTGGGCTGGTGTTTCGGAGAGACGATTGGGCCGGATGGCTTTCCGGTGCGCTTCTGCGTGGGAGTCGTCCCCCGAATGGCTCCCCCACTGTGATTGATGAGCTGTTCTCTGCAACTGTCCAGTCCTTTCTCGATACACAAAATGATGTGCGGAATGGCTCCCCGACGTCTCTTGCGCTACTCATTTTGCTCCTTTATGACTGGTCCGGGTCGTCGGGTGACCTCTCGTCGGGTGAGTCTCCGGCCCTCGATTCTTGCTAACCCTACATTGTTTCTCTGTCAACTCTTCGTTGTTCTCTTGTGGAGCTGTCTGTCGATCTCCTCTCCCAGTATCGGGGGTGGCTCCTTCGAAGGCTCCCCCGAGTGTCTTTGTGGTGTCCTTTGCGCTTTGTGTAACAAGGAACCTCGACATAAGTTCCACCGAGTTGTGCAGCCCTCGGATCTAGGGATTGCCGTGGCTAGGGGTGTTTTCAGTGCCCGTTCTCCACCAAGACTCGACTGATGTTTGCACAAAATAGTTATGCAAGGCGAAGAAAACATGATTTGGCATGCCAACCCCAAATCCAGCATGCCGGCATTCCAGCACGTCGACGCTGGCACTTCACCTCCGTCCCCGAGATCAGCGATGCACACCACTGACTCGTTGGCTGCTCTGCCCCCGTTCCCCTTTGGACACGGAGGCTTCGTGCCCGCTGCCTGGCAGACATGGACACTCGGACCAATTGCTAGCACGGACATGGACCAGCACTCAAAGATCCGTCGATGCTTTCTGACTCGAGAGTCTCTCCCTCAATGATTGGCCATCGCTAGGGTCCCCTGCCGTGTGTGAATGGTGCATTCCACGAAACGGTCGTTGTCAGGGGGCGCTGTGTCAGTCATGGTCCCTTGCAAGTTGAGAACAAGCATCAGTCTTCCCTTCCACAACGGTGATAGTGCGAGTCGACACCTGTTGACTCGACCAACTAACCTACTGACGCTCTGATCTCGGTCCCTCATCCTCTCCACAGTTCCTGCCGACATGATCGGGAAGCTTCCTCATGATGTGGGGTTTGGCCCAGAAATCAATCCGGAGGAACTTAGCGCTGCTCGACGGCTTCCCTCCCCAATGGCTAGAACCTGAAGCTACGGCAACAAAGTGCAGCAAATCAGGACAAAGCCTTTGAACTTCTCGGTTCACTCACATTGTGGGTGTCCAATGGTCTTCAAGGAGGTTTCGGGTTGAGGATATTTGGCCATGGAGTTGGTAGCCGCGTAACCGCTGCAGCCATTAGACTTTTACCTGGATTTTATCCACGAACCGCAAAGCTGGCATGGCATACGATTCTCAATGTCACGGTTTGCCATTAGTCACACGAAAATGCCAAGGATCACGAGGCTGCCACACAGCCTCGTCGGACTGAGCGCACACAACCAGGTATCGCTGTGGCTAGTCAGCAACGTTTTCAAATAGATCCTTGTACTGAAATTGATATCATACTTGCACTCTAGACAGCTGTGAACAGCGTGATCAGGTTGCGCTGTGATACTCAATGCCCTGATCTCCCCAACCGCCGATTCCCACAGAGGTTTTCATCGTCAACACAACCATCGACATTCTTTGTATTGGTCGTTCCGCCTTCTGTCAACCCAGTGCCGGTAGCATGTCTAGTTCCAACATCAATGACTACAGGACCTTCTTTGCGCCTAGTCTGAGTCACAACACGATGCCTCCTTATTTACTGCCAACTCCGCCCTGTCCGACACACTGGCTGGAAGATTTCTTAAGAGAAGACGGCAGAGATCAGGGAGTGATACCACGTACCGGGGTGGAAGCGCAGACGCCCGAGTCCCTGCTGCAGGGGTAGACTGCAAGATATGTTGTAGCTGGGAACCAAACAGCCACGATTGACATATATTTTTGGACCGTCTTCGCAGCCAGCATTGAGTTCCGGGAGTTACCTTTACAGCACCGCGGCGAAACAATCCAAGATTGTCAACGACGTTCCTCAAAGATGCCAATGTCTGATCCCCAGTTTCGACTCTGTGGTAGCGGTAAGGTTCAGGCCACAAGATTGCACCTGAGTCAGGCAGGACCCAGCCTTGTTCGCACACGACAGATACAATTTGTCCATCTGTGGGTGTCAGTCGGCCTCATTGAAACCAAGCAAACTTCCAGAAACCCGTCCCATCAACCACTATTCATACTCTTCAACGTAAAGTACATACAGACGAAAGACAACTAGGTTGAGGACAGGACTAACTCCTCGATCTGCCTTAGCTTGCTTTGATCTAATGATCACCATAAATTGAGACCTTGGCAACTTCTCTCAATACATGTCATTCACAGAGGCTACTTTTCATCTGTGTTGGACACTCGATGAATCGCTCTCTGAGCCATGTCCCGACCCATTGGGAACGTCAACTTGTTGAGTGCACCCGCGAAGCCGAGAAGCACGACCAAAATCCTGTCATCCTCTTCAAGATTTTTCACCATCGATTCACCTTCACTGACGGCCGCAGACGTACCACCATATGAGCTTGACCTCGTCCGCTGCGAGCTGACGGATGTGCAGAGTGATTGACTCACAGACTTTGGTGTCGAAACGTGCCTGGTCGCGGAGTTGCTCCATTTCGACACTGCAAGGGCAACGGACGGACATGTCGAATGGGGGGATGTGACAAGGGCGGCCGGTTCCTTCGGTGACCCAAAGCGGCAGCTTGGTTTGTTTCACCGCAATTCCTTCGACCTTTGGCTCGAACATACTCATCGCGCTTCAAGAAATGTAGGACGCAGATCTCTTTCGTGGACGAGCGGAAAAGGATTGCACAGGCGCTTTCGACAAAGCTTTCGGCCATATGCTGCGAGGATTGGAATCGAGAGACTGCCACACCGCCGATTCTTTTGGCGACTCGAGCACTCACTACCCCAACGATATTGTCCGTGTTCTGGTAATGCTGAGGGCGGATGCGCGTGCCTAGGGTATATGACAAGTGCGCGCAACAACGTGAGTGCGCACAGGCTGTGTATGTCGGTAAGTTATTACATCTTGTACCATGCAAGGCTGTGACATTGGGCGGCACAGCCTAACATCTTCCTCTGAGAGTCACCCTCCTCTCGAGCGTTCAACTACCCACGCTCGCCATGTCGGAAAAGACTGAGGAAGATGTTAAGACCTCTCTTGCGAGCCGACATGATCCACCGTGTCTTTGATCAAGCTCGATGGGCAAGAGGTCCGGGGAAGGGCCCCAGGATATACAACCATAATGAGGCCCTCGACGCGTGGTGAGAGGCCTTTTCAACCAAAGCCCGACGTTTTCCCTCGACAGCCTTGCAAGCTCCTTCGGGTACAATCATCAATCCGTTACCTACTTACCCACCATCTGCGCCAACGGGTTAGCACACATTTGCGCCAAGAAATCTGAAAGAAGTGTGCCAGAGGAGCGCAGCAAGAGAGCAGGGAGATTCGAAGAGCGCTGAGGCCACGCACATACCTCTGAGGTGGTGTCACAGGCCTCATCTCTCAAAGGTTGAGGAAACATGCAAGCGTTGTCTGAATGCTAAAGGTACAAAGCTATGACGCCAAGTTGTACGCTACGGAAAAGGCGGACGCAGTCTGAACTGGGTGACGGGGACAGAGGTTGTCAAGAAAACGATGCCAAAACTAAAAGAAGGACGGGCAGACACCAGGAGGGATCCTCGCCGGCTGAATGGATCTCTTGCCGCACCACTCTATCTTTCAGACCCTTCTCTACCAAGTAGTGATTACGACTTGTCAAAAGTTCTAGACGTCCAAGATATAACTGAAAACCCCTTCTGTCCCGTGCACAAGGGCACGCTGACCACAAGAGGACCATCGGGGGACATCCACGGCAAGCGAGACGACTATGAGACCGCTCAGTGGGGCAGACCCACAGGCGTTGTCTTCCAAGGACAAATGCTTTCATTGTTCAAGCGAGAAGACCCGGGATCAATGCACTTGCGCCTCGAAAAGGTGCGGTAAGCAGTCGAGGGAAAGGATTTCCATGGGCCGAGCCCAAGATCAAGCTGTTCTTCGTTGGCATGGACGGCAAGGGGGTACCGGTGGGGTCGGTGGGTGCCGTGAAAAAGGGAGTCCGCCTGGGGCATGTTTGAGCTTTACATTGCCGACTCCCAACACTTCGGTGCGTCCGCGTTGACAATCACAATCTAAATGCTCCATGTACACTCGGTATTCCCACCAATGGAGGATGAGGACGACTTCGACGACTCGTTCTTCGGCGACCAGCATGCCGACTCACATACAGAGGACACGAGTCGGATTCCAATCTTGACTGTGGTGGCAGCCATGGAGACAGCGAAGAGAGAGGCGACGATGATTATCGAATCGGACAAGAGGAAGAGGAAGGTATGCAAGACGACAGGCGCGAGATCGGAGATGGTCCCGGCGCAGACCGCGAACTGAACGGCGGATTGTCACTCAGTCAGGAAACCGGAGACATAGCGAAAGAGAGCAGTGCAAGCCACTGTACGTCCAGTCATAAGAATACCAATAATCTGCAAAGCGACACAATCTATTCTCCGTCTCCGCATGACTCTGATGACAACATTATCTTTCGGTCGATGCGGGGGCCGAAACCCGACATGATGGAGGGTGATGTCAAGGGAAGAGGGGGATCCGCCGAAGATGTTGGCGTAAAAGACGACTCGACCAACGATGAAAACATTGCTTCGTGTGAAAAGATGATGCCGCGCAAGCTCCTATCTGGCAGACCTCTGCACGGCGGCGTGGCATTGAAGGATGGCAACCCGACCTCCGAGAAGCTTTCACAGGAAGAGGCGGAGATGAAACAGCGACTCCTGCGACTGGCACATTACGACGGAATGATGGAAGACGAGAAGTTTGCCTACAACGCGAAATGGCCAGAATGTACACAGCGCCTGTCTCAGCCGCAAGCTTGTGAGGTTATCAAGATATTCGACAAAGAGGCGGAGGTGGGTGGTTGTCTCCTCGCGGATGTCATTGGAACAGGCAAGACCAGAATATCCATTGCCAAGATTGAAGGCAAGAAGCATTTCACGACGCAATTGCTGCATTGGCGGGATCACAAAGAAAGCGTTTGGTCAATCCCCAGTCCGGGGAGCGTTATCCAGTTCGGGATACGTTCGACTTCTTGTGCGTTTGTACCTGAAGCTCCCCCGACTCGTGAACGACTTCCAGTTTTCGGAATCCTCGCCATCACCACCCCATCCAAGGCTCTCGGTCAATGGGAATCGACGTACGGAGATATGATCGAAAGCTCCCGGTCGGATTTCTATGTCCAACACGAGTCGAGCACGCAACGGTTGCGCGATATCCAGCGAATCTGCGGCAAGTACAAGCAACGACAGAAGCAGATGCCCAAGGCAGCCCAATTTTGATGCGGCAGAGGCCGGTTATGGAGTGGGTCCTAGTCGACTGCCACCCAGAACAGAGGTTCATCACGGGCATGATGACAGATTTTGTTTTGTATCACGCCGTGCGCGCGAAGCGGGACCTGTGGAGATGAAGCTGGGGTATGAGGTACAGGTACTTGTGGAAGACTACACCCTAGACGAGCGGAATGAGAGGAGAAGGGAGGGCTCCAAAGCGCACGAGACCCCACGGACTTGCTCCCGAGTCCCTCAACATAGTGCGCCGCTGATCAACCACGTCTCAGCGACACCATCCGCATTGGGCATTGCAGCGTACCAGATCCCGATTGCGATCATGCACCGAAATCACCCGCACCTGTTTGACAAACCCGAAATTTGGAGATTCACAGGAGGGCGTCCGGCCGAAGGCCTGGAAGCGAACGGAGGTCTGGTACCGACTGAAGTTCTTTACAAGCACCCACCCCGACGAGCAGGTCTGATCACGCTGGAGAAAACCCCTGAGGACTGGGAAATGGAGGCGAATCAACTGCAAGACGGCGGCCGCCACACCGGTGCCAAGGTCAAGGCTGAAGAGGCTGCGGCTAATTTCGCAAGCCCATGAGCTAAATCGAAGCGTTGTCTGTCGTCCGGCTCAATCCAGACTTGTGGGAGGACAGCGAGACTGTTGTGTGGTTCCCTAAGCAAACCAGCAAAACAATCGACATGAATGTAGGATACGGAGGCGAGATAATCAAGGATCTCAACCGGAATGTCCAGCGTTCGTTGCGGGATTACTTCAAAAAGCTCTCGTCCGCGATCAAGGCCCAGCTTGACGCGCAAATGGACGACTATCAGAAGGGCAAGCGGAAGGACCGACCAAAGGACCTTTCGATACAAGACCTGGAGAATGCCGTGGTGTCGAAATTCAAATGTTCGAGACTTGATCTCTACTGTGTCGACTTTCATCGGCTGATCGCGCAATCAGAAGGAGCACCATGACTGAAGACATGTGGTTTGAACGTCCTGAGACTTCTCTGGTCTCTGCTCGAACGGACGACATGATCAAGTTTGGGAAGATGAAGATACTGAAGAAGATGCTGTGGACACACGAGCCGTACTGGGCTAGCGATCTGTCGGAATCGGTTCTGCGCATGACCCCGAGGCTCCCTGGCGCACACGTCCTACAGTGTTTCCTGGTCAGGTATTATCCGCAACAGTACGTGTGGTGTTACGCCAGTTTCCCCGTGGAAGAAAAATTGCTGTACCAGAAGGGGTTCAATGGTGAACATGAGTACTGGTGGGGAATAATAGGACAGCCACCCTCGACGACCGATATCGGGTTAGGGACATTTGCGGGCGTGTGAGGATTATGGCGTCTGCGATCGACGTCCCCAGTGGCTGCCGGGTGATATCCTTGGGACCGCCGAGTGCACTGTACCTTTACCTTTATGGAAAAGTACGTGTCCGCCAGGCAAATTCTATCTTCAGCGAGGTGGTAAATTATCAGATGGTCAACACAGACCGCAAGATGGACCGCTACTTCCTGCCTCAACAGCAATCGGAGAATGCTGTGGCAAACGCCACAAAAATCCTCGGAGCGTTGGGAGAGGGTCGGTTGGAAAATTAAATGCCAAGAGCTATGTGCAGCGAAGCTGAATGTCGAACTGGGAGATATTGTCGGATGGCAAAGACGGATGCTTCACGCGCATTTAGGCTAGGCGACACAGAACAGACATGGGCTAATTGGGGCTGGTGGTTGCTGAGAAGACGAGGCAAGCTGGTTGCTGAAGACGAGTCAATTGGAAGGAGGACTGAGGCTGTCCGCAGCTTATCCTTGACAACGAAGACTAGCGTTCATATCGAGGCGGATCGACTTGCCTAGCCATTTCAGCGTAGGGTAAGGGGCTGCATGACATGGTTGGCGGGCGAGGCGCACTACAAGAATCGCTGCGCGACGGTCCACTATATATTCCATTGAGCTGTTGCAATCTTTAGCCCTGGGTCATGGAGGTAATTTTGAACAACATACAGAGGCGTCTGGGACGATACTCGACTTTCATTCGGCACTTGAAAATCGATGTCAACGTGGCGGGGTCAAGCTTTGTGGATCGATTACTGAGGATGTGCAAAATTCAAGCAGAGTTGAGTGCCCGACACGCACGAGGCTCCTTCATGCATTTGCGAACCGTCAGTCATTGTCAGTCGACTTGCTTTCGCCGCAGCACCGCCGCCTCCCGGAGCATCACAGCCCAGATGAAGGAGATCCTGTGCCGAACCTATCGTGACAATTGCTCTTTCTCATGCACAGATATTCGTGATAAAGTGAGGAGATTCGGGAGGGTGAGCGTGGCAATTGCCAAATAAAAAGCCGCAGAAATATCTGCAGCATGACTGACGCTTCATCCGAACATACGGGAGGCGCATACCGACTCTGATGGTGTCGAGTGGCTACTGGTGGATTGAGAAGGGAAGGCCTGTCTGTGATGGTGTCTGAGGAGGAAGAGGTGCTCTCAGGTAGAGAAAACAACCGTTACGAAAGCGCAAAGAGAAAAGCTGCAGTACTTAAATATAGAAACTATCTTCAAGCTCAAAAAGGTACCTCTGTCCAGATGAAGTCCGTTTAAGCTCGGTGGGTATATTATACTATACTATGGCATGACGTCAACTAACGCCTCGGCAGCCTTGCCCTTCGTAGACGAGAGAGCCCTACACATGGTCCTTCAACTTCTGCTGTATTCCTGTGGCAGGCACGGCCTAGGCAGAGGATAGATAGCGCCTTGGCACCGAGGTGCCTACAGATAGCCGAGCGCCGGTCGCTCTGGAGATAGTCATGCAAGCATTCTCGAGATCTTCTTTGTGCCTCCACAATTCCACTCTCATTTCGACGGACGAAGAAGCGGCAGGTAGACGGAAAAATCGAGATGGCGAAAGCAGGAAGCCCACGCAAAGAATTTTCATTGATTTCAGCCAAATGCGGTAAGACTGTTGGTCTTCAAGGAGTTGCAAGGGATGATGAGAGTGATGGCGATGGCCATGACGGTCTCGGTGAGGACAATCTCTGGATGATGGGTGAGTACCGACAGGGAGCACGCTGGGGAGAATCTACTTCGGACCTCTCTTTTGACATACGGGGGTGGGCTGTTGGCAAGCTGGGAGAAATACCCAGTTGTCTTTACCAGACCTTGATGTGCGAAGCGGTTCACAGCTGTGAGCACAAGAAGGTGCTCGTGAAGACCTTTTTGACGGTGCTAATCGACACTTTTCGGACGTGTCGGAAATTGTCTGTCGACGAGGTCAAGCACTTTTGCCTACGATCAGATCCCTTGTGCTGCTTTCTGGAGTCGATCTTCCCTTCTGGCGACTGAAACATGATCAGCGATAGGATCCCCTCTCTTCGAGGTGAATGTAAGAAGCCGCCAAGGTAGCGCCTGGTTCCACTGGCGCAGTGAATGTCACTGTCGCTGTCGCTGCAGAAAAATGACAACGCCGCCTTCATTTTTATGACGACTTTCATGGATCTTCACTTTATCCCCCCGTTCTCCGTGCTGCATCAAAGACGTCCCTCTTCAACACAAGCTTGAGTTTCCAATCAACAGATTTCACCACATCAACAGCACAAAATGGCCCCCTACCTGCTTCGGCTTATCCTTATCTTGTTCACGCTCTCCATACTAAGCATCTCAACTAAGGGCATCCTCGTCAACATCCCTCCAGAAGTCTTGGGGCGCATGCAACAGGCAACTACGGACTGCATTAAACTAGCAACTTTAGTTTCGATCGTTTTCGCCGACTGCGATCCAGTGTTCCAGCGGTACTTTCCTGTCGGCGACGCGCCCTTTGTGGAACAGGTATTCCGCCGAATCGCCAACTTCCCACCCGATGCCGTCCTGGAACTTACCGACTTCGAAACGATCATGCAGCAACGAGCTGACGTCGGCCTAGATCGGCGGCTTATCGACCTGCTCATCACATATGACAATCACCCAAACGGAATTCAACAATTTTGCGACGACGACGATGACACCCTCGGTTTCTTTACCTTGCTCACCACTGGTGAACCCTGCGTGTGTATCTGCCCATACACTATGCGGGCTTTCCCCGATGAAGAAGAGATTAACAACCCGCCAGCCTGGGCCCGGGATGCGGATGGGAACCCACTGCCTGGGTACGGATGCGATGGTCTCGGCGACCACGATTCGGACTTGATGTGGTTCCCCGGTGCAATCCTGCTACACGAGCTGACCCATTACTCCAACTTTTTTCAAGACATCCCGGGTTGGGACAATTTGATCGGGTTCGACAGTGCCGGGCAAAGATCAATTGACGACTGGGAAGGCCCGGTCCCGCCATTTGGTTACGGCGCCTTCTACGCGCGAATCCTCCAGTACCTCTCCACGGTCAATCCGGCCCAGTATGCCGGCGGGCATGAAGCCATCAACAACGCAGACAGTTATGCAGCATACGCTTTGTCGGTGTGGTGGCGGTGGCGATGTGGGAGGGAGTTCGCCCCGTCCGTCAACAGCGCCGACACAGATAACCGAGTTCCGCCTCCGCGTCCGGGAGCTTCTCCATAGTCACCGCCTCGTTACGAAAATTGATGCGCTTGAACAGGTCAGCCATCTGGAGAAGTGCAGGATAGCATTCGAAGCTCGAGACCTTGTCCGTTGGATCAGATTTTCAACGGCAATCAAGCACCATGTGTATGTATTCGCATACACAAAGCAAGATAGACGGCAGAGAGCTTTACAATGCGCCATTGGGACAAACAGAGTAGATGGTGGATTGCAATAACTCTGGGAGCTCCAGACAGAAGAGTGGAAGCTTCTCTTCGTGTTTCATTGAGTTTTGACTGACTCGGAAATCAAAACCTGCGACTGAGAGGCCCTGGCTCCTGTCTTGTGTTTTTTGTAGCATGTGCTTGCATGTATGTGCTGTATTTTTTGCGACTGCTTCATTGGTCTTCCTCTTCCTTTGTCATGGATTTCCCGATCTATATCAACGTGTCTGCGCTTCTTTCTCCCTCCAGGAATTAACTTTCAGTTGCCTATTACCAGCCAGCACCATGTCTTCCCCAGTCGGAAAGGATGGATCGCACTGGGTCCGCTTCCTTGGTGGACAGGAGGAACGTTCCTCTTGGGTCGGTGGATTCAATGGGTGCGGATCCTGCGTCCAGCCACCAATACAAGGAGAAGAAGAGGAGGATGGAAACGGAGGAGGACCGGCGACTCGGGAAGGAGAAATGAACGGGACAAGGACCGGTAGTCAACCAATTTGGGTGGCTCGATGAGTGGGAGTGCAAAGAGCTCGACAACTCGGTAGTTGATGCCGAGCGCTACGATGTCTGATTTGGAGAGTCGCCTTTCCGATGTTGTTGCGGCTGTTGCTAAGGCAAAAGAGGCGTCTGTAAGGGAAAAAAGTGGAAGTGTCTCGTCTTCGAGGTGAGGTCGAGGAGTTGACCGAGCGTGCTGCTGCAGTAAGTTTATTTCGCTGGTAGTGCTTCTGGAGTTGGAAGTTGACGATGGGGCGAGTTGAAACGCTCTGATCGAGAGGAGGTTGGTACGTACATGTCTGTGTGGAAGTATGTTATTGATAGTGCGGTTGACTATGTTGGGGCCACCGCGTATCATTATTCCAATCTGTCTATTGCTGATTACGAGTGGATGTATCATGAGCTGAAGCCCGAGGGGAGGAGTCTTTACGGAGGCTTCAGTGCTTGTTGAGAGAGTGTGTTTGGCTTGTGTGTCAGTGCTTTCGGGTTATTGTCTGGTGGTGTTGCAGTGTAGGGGGGACCCATGGGCTTTGCCTGTGGGGGCGTGGGCGCTGCCAAGAGATCTTTTTCCCTTTTCGGTTACTTGGTTGCCTAATCTGGGTTTTCGTTACCCAGCAATGTGTGGTCTGTGGAACATCAGCTGTGGTGCGGAAAGTCAGCCTGCCATGTGATGTGCAGCCTTGCTTAGTTATCCAAAATACGGTGAAGTTTTGAGTGCAGTTACGGTGCAGCACATTGCCCCAGAGACGGCGAGATGGATACAAACTGGATTTGAGGGCAATTACACCGCTGGGATGCGGGAGAACCGGAAAAGGGATAGATAGACGATGATCCTGGCCGGCCATGAAGGTAGGAGGGATGCACCAGACTTCGGAAGTCAGTCGTCGGACACGCAGGTTGGGTTAAGCGGGACGATGTAATTCCACCTGGCTGGGCTACGTGATCAACGAGCTGCTGCGTGATGCGTAGTCTGTGGTGTTTTCGATGCTGGGTTTGGTTGAGCTGCATTCGGTCCCAGTGGGCTTTTCCCATTTCTTCTCTTGGAAGATACTATATATCCAAACATCACACCACATACACAGACATTCGTTTTCCATGCTTGGTTGAGTTGCTCCACAGAGATCAGAACGAAATGAGTGAGCTCCAGATTGGCTGACTGGCAAGAGAGGATCAGCTCCACTCGCCTATCTACATACCTCCTCAGAGACAAAGGTATATATGCAACAGAACGGCAGCAGGAGTAGGAAGGAGAAGATGAGGCGGGGAGAAGCAGAAAGTACTTGGTAGGAGACGTAACAGTAATGGGTGAGACAAAACCTTCATGAACAGGACATCACGCAAACGGTGTACCTACGTACACACGCTCTCTTCCTTTTTCGTCGGTCTGGATCATCAGCGTTTGAAATAAATCCAATGTGTCCTGGATGGAATGCGGTGAAATTTACCACCTAGCCAATACCTCAAGGGCCAAGATGTCTACCACCTCTGAGAGACCGACCCTTCCATCAACACCAGCCAAGTCTTCAGCGCGTATCAAATTTGCGCAGTGACAACAGTGGGCTAGAGAGGATCCCGAGGGAGGCACAAAATAGAAGCACTTAGCAATGATTTGGAAAATTGCTGGTGTCAGGCGAGCGCCCTCTCTGGCTGTAGGCAATGACAATGAATAGATTTTCGTCTACTGATTTGTCAATTTTGGAATTGGCAGCTTGGGGAGCGGATTGGAGCTTTCGGATTTTCCACCTGCTGCATGTCGGCAAGAGCCATGCTGGAGCAGCCAGTGTATATGTGGCCTATGGTTCCAGCATTTTCGCGCGAACATGGGCATAGTGGTGGCTGTTTTCACGGTCGATCCCACAAGCTCGTAGTCGTCCGCTCATGAGCCTGGGAGAAACATGTCCATTTGCACCTTGTGTTGCAAGTTTGTAAGGCTTTCAGTATTCCAAAAAAGACGAGTTCCGCTCGCAGGTACTCGAAGGTGATGCGGGACATCAGATCGGCCGTGGCGGGGAATAAAACAGGACAGAGCGTGAGGTGTGCTGTCGTGGGATTAGGTCAGCCTTCACGCGGTCTTTGAAAGTGTGGTCTTGCCAACGCTGTTGTCCGTTTTCAGAGCAGGTGAATTATTCGCAGAATTTCATCATAGGCGGATTGGATGAAGTGGAAGTTCGGGCATCGAATGACCAGAATGTTAGATTGAGGGGCTGCATGGATGTCTCAGGGATCAGGGACGTCCTCCGACTTGTCGTTCGTTCTGCTTTCCCTGAGCTGCCGTGCTCTGAAGGGTGATTGATTGAGAAAGGGAGTGGAGCCTCGTGTTTCAGGATCGGGGCAAACGATGGGAAGAGACTTATATTTGGCCTTCAAATGGTAGTGAGACAATGTCGAGCTAATATTATGACTTTAAATAATTCCGGGTAACTCGACGTCGGCAACCACGATGGGAATGTGGTGCAAGATCGGATCAACTGGGGAGAGTGATTCAACCATCGTTGGGGCGATTTCGAAGGTACATTGTATCATAGCGCAACCTGATCAGGCTGTTCACAGCTGTCTAGGGTGCAAGTACGATATGACTTCCAGTACAAGGATCTATCTGAAAAGGTGGCTGGCGGTGCGACGGCCATTCCTACTGTGCGCGCTAGCCTGACGAGGCTGAGCGACAGCCTCGCGATTCTTGGCAAGTTACCCACGCGCTCTTGGCAGCTATGGTTTCCTACCTCGTGGTGACATTGCTATCTTCATGCGTCTGCAAGTGACCACCTGCTGCTCAACCATCACTGGAGGAAAGTTTCGTGCTCGACCCTCGGATGGTTGAGCTCTGCCCTAGATACAAGTGACAAAAGGTCCAGGTTGGCCTGTCATCACAGCATTTCTATCGTTGCATCACGGATTCCCGTTGAAAACGGAGATTGAAACGGTCGGAGTAGTGGCTCACAGCATGCGTACTACTAGTCCTTCCATCATTGACAAATAACAATCCCAACATCCCCGTCTTTGTACTGGTCACGCTCGACAAAGAGGAGTGCGGGACCTACATCCAGCGACTCCACCAGTGGAGTGGACGTGGCAATCATATTTAGTCACCATTGAGAAATCCAACGATTGGGCTTGCCTTCCGGCTTTGTAATGTGATCAAGCCCATTTGAAAAGGTTTTTTAACTAGTTCCATTCAACTGCAGTCACTCCTTCAGGACCTCGTCTGATTTCTCTTCGATGACATTTCTGTCAATGCTGCATTCCAGACTGTTTGCGTTGGCAAAGGAACGAGCGTGCCCACGGAATCGACGAGCGAGCTATTGTTATCCAAGACAAGATCAGCGTCCCAGCAGAAAATAAAGACCTTGAATTTGCGCATGGAGTCTGCTCAATACTCAACGCAGGCAACACAAAAGGCTGAATTGATCACCTCCTTGTCGAGTATGAGTAGCTTGCGGCCTGAGTTGATGTCAAGGGCAAGGCAATGCAGCCACCGGTCTAGGTGCTCTCAAACGTCTTCCGCTGGACGTTGCGCAGGTCCTGGCAGTATCCTTGAGCGATGCAGTTGCTGAGGCATGTGGCTAGGGAAACCCCGTCCCTGGCCGGCACAGACACGCCTGCACGATTGCGGCTACTGTCTTGTCGGCTGTGCCTTCGTCCCCATGACAACTCTTCCTATCCCCGCGATGCTTCAAGAACGGTGCCGTAGTTGCGCTTCATCTCGGTGGGGATGTGTACGGTCTGGTCGCTCGACTTCCAAACAGAGGCTGGTTCCTTAAGCTTTTGAGCGTGAACATGGGAATCTTAGACGGCTTCATTTGAAAACAAGCGATCCAACCGAAAGATCGAGCCACACCATTTCCGATGTGGGCCGCGACGAAGTAGGCGGGTCGCCGCTGTTAGCCATGACGAATTTTGAGGATTTTGATAACCTCAACGGACCAAACATTCACCCTGGAATGTATGTGCCTTGTCTCGCGCGGTGCCTGCCCATGGGATTGCAGATCGCACATGTGGTAGTCAGTCATATGGAGATCTCCAGCATGTACCCCTGGCCTGAACCACCCTCCTCTTGTATCAGCTGCGAAGGAGACCGCGAACCCTCTCTTTCTGGATTGACCATGGGGCGAATGGACGAGGTTGTGAGCGAACCAACCGGGCGCTCCTCAGCCCTCAATTCTTGAGAGGCTACCTAGCACGGCTTTCCGACGTGTAGTCGCCCTGTCAATTCCGTGGGGAAAGATCCATTCGGCCCCAAACCAGACACCGGATACGACGGAACGTACCGATAAACATGCGTTGTTGTAAAAGCATACTATGACTTAGGCCTCCCGGAGATCCGTCGACCAACTCGAAAGATATCTGGCCTCTGTCAGACTTATCCCATCTACCACCCCTTCCAGGAGGGATGCATACCTGATTCTGGTGTGGTTGTTGATACTGGAAGGATCACAGCAGCCAGGATCTTGCCCTCGCCAGTAGCTGTAGGATATGACGGCGGGTCTCCTGGTTGATACCTTCCCTTCTCCTGCATTGCTCGCACCTAGAGCTGGCGTCAATGGACTAGGCAAGATCTCACTCGTGTGACGCGGTTGAACTTTGGCGATAGAATATGTGCCTGAGCCGTCACGCTTGATTTGGTCCGCACCGCAGCGTTGCTTCTTCCCGATGTGATCAACCGTCGCGTCTTGCGCTCGAGGACCAGGCCGTATGAAACCAGTGGCCTTTTCTCCTGGTCACGCTCTGCCTGCAGACGTCCTCGTTCTTTACCAAACATCTATCAACAGCTTCGGCACAGGACGTCTCGTGATCTGGCCCGCCCTTCGGACCGATTTGAGTGCAATACCGATCTTCCCTGCTCGGAGGAGGCCGTGCTCGAGCGACTGATTCGTTATCTAATCGTGGTATTGGGGCTTGGCGATGTTGGGAAGACGGCGCTGGGTGTACAAACCTGGGTTTGCACGCGGTCTTCATGGTGATGAGCTGACCATTCGACAGCCATGATACAGCTACTCCCAGCCTACGCACGATCCCACCATCCTAGACACCATCGACGGGAAGTTTCAGATAGATTAGAAGTCGTCTGAGCAGATATACGGTAGAACCGATAGGTCTTGCTATTGCATCACTCGTCCACGTAACGAAGAACGACCTTGGAAATCGTACTACTGTCTCCACTGACAAGCAATCTTAGCCCCTCCGACCTCGTCAGTCCTATTGATTTGGGATAGCCATTGCCAAGTTAGGGGGCTCATCCACGAGGAAATGTCCAGCCTATCACCCTTCCTCATCAAAATCATCAACTGGCCAATGTTTCAATGTCATCTCCTTCTCCTCTTCAGAATCTAGGCTCGCCAGGGCTTGCATTTTGATGAGTTTCGCCAGTTGTACCACCTGGTCGTACTCTGCATTGGACGCCCATCCATCTCTGCTGATTCCAATGGCATCCCGGATTTTTTTAAGCTGGGTGTCCATGTCCTCTTGTTGCAGCAGGATGTTAATGGTACGTTGGACATCGAGTTCAGTAAAAGAAACAGGACACAAAGGAATGGCCGCTCCAGAGTACCCGTTTTCGTTCAAGATTTCTTCCCAGATTCGCGTTATGTAAATGATATCTGCTTTGAGAGGGATGTTGTTGCCTTGCCAAGGCTCACCTGCGTGGCTGAAGGTCTTTCGAGTCAGTAGATCTGTTCGCCTATCGAGAATCTCAAAATGAGCTTCATTAAACCTCTGCGTGAATCCTAGATAGAAGAAATGAAGATGGCGCTGTCGAAATCTTTCCAAAGCTTCGGCACGCTCCTCGTCGTCCATTTCGGCCAGATTTTCGGGCAGTTTTGGCGGAAGGAAACTCAATGACGCTTCGTCTCGACAGTTTTGGAAGTACTTTGGAATGCCGGCAGCCAGGAACTGGGGAAGCACGGAGCAATGCTGCCAATCTATGATCCCGACAATATCGAGATTCTCAGAAACGAAGATGTTATGTGGTTGGAGGTCAGGGTGGCGCAGAATTGGCCTGTGGAACCTTGGTTCTCTTGGCACGAGGTATGGAGCTAACCTCACATACTTGTCCAAGCTCTCGATGTGTTCTTCCGGTCGGGACTTCTCGTAGTTCAGGCATTCACGGTACGCTCGTTCGAACGGCAGGCGTGGACGCCCGAACGCTGCGAGCCACGCCGACTCTTTGGCTGCGATGCAGGAAAGCAATTGGATGGGAGTGAAGTCTGGACAACCATCAGCGAGGAACATAATTCCAGATTGATTTCATGTGCATGCATGATTTTGAAGCTATCCATGATAGCATTTTGAGCGTACGTACGCACCAATATAGAGAGGGCAACATCCTCCGTGGTTGGAGGCCTCACCAGGAGTTTGGTTGGGGGATGCCAAGGGAAGGGAAAATCACGCCCAGTAGAGCAAAACTTACGGGGGCCGCGGTGGATTTCCATGGAGTCACGCTCCTTTTCCCACCATCTTAAGTTCGTGTGAGGGCCAATACACAACCCTTTGATGTTGGATGTTGGCGTAATGACGGCGCGAGAAGTGTCGGCGGGGAGATCGTGCTCGTAGTAAACACTGCCACACGCTGGAAGATGTATTCTGGAAAGCTTGGCTTCTGCTTGCACAACTTCCGAGATGATTTTGAGTCGCTGATCCTCAGTCAAATCAAACCACATATCCCCGATAGGACGGCCAGGGAGTTTCTCCATGATCATAAACTCGGCCCCCACAGGGTTTGAGCATCTGGCGAGTAGTACAAGACTTTGGGAGCAGGTACGCCGGTAGCACGAACGAGATCCAAAGTCGCAGCTTCGCTGGCTGTCGGAAGTCGATAGGGTTTCGTTGAAGGGTAGGGCAAGCGGGCGAGTACTTGGGAGCCATCTTTCATGGTTATCTGGAAGACTCGATTGAAGCCACCCTCTGCAAGCTTGGAGAATTCCTTGACTTCGGATGCAGGCTGGCGCAGACACTTGGCAGCGATTTTCTTGAGTTCACCAACATTGAAAACGAGCTTTCGCTCCAGGAGTCGAAGGGATTCATTGTACCTGTGACAAGTCATGTGGTGCTTCACTCCAACGGTTAGATTGCTCACAGCCATCTACCAGACGTGTATTCGAAGAAGTCTGGACTGAGCTCCATGTCGCCAACAGATCTGTAGGAAGCAGAGGAGTGAAATGTGGCCTTGGACCAGATTTTGTGTGTTTCGCAGATGTGCCGACGCCGACAGCGGCCGATCAGCCTTGTGGGTATCATCTAAACAAGCCATAGAGTCAGCTCCAGGTTTCCAGGGAACAAAATAGGTAGCAATCGAATGTGTTGAAGGCGAGCAGGTTGGGAGGAGGCTGAGTCAAGGAAGTGTTGACGGTGTCACGATTGCAGGTAGTTGTCACATGCGCAGGCACGTGACCGCGCTAGCCACTGCCTGCGCCACTGCGGTTATGTCATTGCTGCCGCTCCTGTAAACCTTCAGATAGTCCTTCGTACTACAATTCATCAATTCAAGCGCACAGCGTGATAGACGGGGAGATCACATTTCTCGGCAATCGGTTAAACATCGGATGCTGAGGGCCCATTGAGCCAATCAACATAGCGGCGCGTGGACTATGATGAAACACTAGTTTACCTCAATAGCCCCTCAGCACAGCGGCACGTGGACTATGATGAAACACTAGTTTACCCCATGATTCTATTTTTAGCCATATCGGGTGGAGTCTTCGCACCACAGTGAGGATTGCCTGATTCACACACCTCTGTTCTGAACCCATTCATTGATTCAGCTAGAGCATAAAGGACAGCATAAAGGACAGCAACGTATCGTTCCTGAAACCTTGCAGCGGTTGATCGAGTGAACTGAACCCTGAAGGAGCAATCACGAGAAGCTCTGTTTCCTTCTGCCGAGTATTTATCAAGAAGTACTCTGCGGGTATGCAGGAAATGAACAGCCGGGGCCTTGGCAATTGAGCATCAATGCGTTCACTCCAGCAAGAGGGTGAGATAGAGGAGAGTCGTCCACTCGAAGCTAAGTCTCAACTTCCGACCATCTCACCTCGTAACGCGACAACTCGCTCGCGTCCGTCACAGTTTTCATCTTACACACTCCTTCTTTTCTGCCCTTTTGCCTTAGGTGGTCCTCAGTCTGGAAGAGCCTGTCCAAATGGCGAGCCTGACCATTATTGCCACCATTTCAGATGCCCTTGCGCGATTCGAAGGTTCGGGAAGAAACGCACAACCAAGCACCATAACCCGGCATTTGCCTCAACAGTTGCCTCCTCCCCCCCCCCCTCCCCCACCCCCCCCGGGGAGCCTACACTTGTTTGTTTTCGTCGTGCAGGGAACGGCTGAGGAAGGATACCAAAACCTCTTTTGCGAACCGACTTGCTTCCACCGCCACTTTGATCAAGATCATTTCGCAAGAGGACAGGGGGCGGAAACATAAATATAACCGGGATGAGGAGGCAATCAGGAGCGGGTGAGGAAAGCGACGTCCCCCGAACACTGCACAGTTCCTTGGCGAGGGGATCCGGCGTTGGAGACGACACAGCATCCCACGGCGATCAAAGGCGTTCCCAACCAAGGCCGAAGCCTGTGGCGTCGAGGGCGAATAGATCTCTCAGGGCGAAATGTAAGAGAAGCCGCACTTTTCCCCTTCGACCTCGTTATATCGCGCTCGATATTCTCGAGCCATCACCTACGAGCCCATCCTCTGCTCCAACTCGATGGGCACATTTCTTCCGCTGGCCGTCTGAGAGAAAGAAGATTAGAAGGATAGTGGACACACAGATGCGAAAGGGGTGGAGCCGGAGCAGAACAAGGGTGATCGAAACCGACTGGGGCACACGTATATGGCTCTGCGGTGGTCTCGCCGGCACGTCTCCCGAGAGTTAGGGAGCCATGCCAATATTACCGCCGGCGGCATCATCGTCTCTTCCGCTGCCCAAAGCATGGCCATTTCTCGTCGGCAAAATGTCCGCTCCCACGAATGAAAAGAATGCAGGAAAGGTTGGGGCAAACCAGGACGACCGACGATCACTCTCCGTAGCCTACATGACATGTGTGTGCCCGGCACGTACAATCTCGAAACGAGGACGGCTGTTCTAGGGCTGCGCCCAGACCGACTCGCCATGGTCGGGTCACATGGTGACAGGCGAGAAGGGACTTCTGGATCACAAGGTCTTACAGCGTTACCTGACCGTACTCTGCGGTGAGCATCCCGTCCCCGTGTCGAGGTCCGGCGGCGCTTCTGGCTCGAACCTGAGACCTCTATTCCCAGTGGCATAACGGCTGGACCGACACTTGACCAGAATATTCTTCGTGACACGAGGCATTGAGATGGTGCAGAAAGAGATGGCATTCAAAACGGCTTCCTGGAGCCTGCGATCGTGTGAAGGACAGCGAGATTCCTCTCTCAAGCGACGTTCTGTATCTCAAATACCCTAAGAAAGAACGGGCACCTTCAGCTCATGGACGTTTTAAACACCTTATCCAGAGAACAAGCGATCATCAACGACGTTGCCAGCGGAGTGCAGGATCAGCGTATCGTTCTGGATGGTCCTGATGATTTCTCCGGGGCCGTCACCACCGACCGTCCTGATCATGACTTTCCCGGCGGTAGCGGGCAACGTTTGCCGGGTGAAAGGGTCGATAGCCTCGCACTCTGGCCCGATCACAGCGGACAACAGAAGGTTGGAACCGAAAGGGCCGAGAGCATGGAGTATATCCACGAAGTCACACGAGTTGAAAGCTGGCAAGATCTCCGCATCGGCATGGCTCCCTTTATCGTGATGTGATCGGCCGCCGGTAAATGTAGGCCGCGAGCTCTGCCCGGATCACTATGAACAATTTATCTGGCTTTTCCCCAAAGAGATGGGGGTGAGTTCGCAGACGCGGGTCAATGAATAGCACAATGGCGAACTGAAAATAGGTTGGTAAAGCACAATCAAGTCAGTTCCATGCCATCTGCCATATTCGACCAATCGGTGTACAGAACCACATACCTTGAGATATTTGTCTTCAATGTGTTTCCCACGTGCGTTTGACAATTCCATCACTCGGCCGATCCTGCAAACCTCTCGGAGAAGTGCAGACGTCTCTGGGCTCATTGAAAACCTGATTTCGGGTTCCATATGTCGTTGATTATCACGCCTGGAATTGATTGTTTAGAAATGCGGGGCAATACCCGGGCGCCCCAAACTCTGCTTATCCTACTTATAAGCCAATATCAAGGATCAGTGTATACCATAAAATTCTTGCAGGTCAAGATCCTCTTGCGGTCTTTGACCACGCGCTGCAACTTGCTGGCCCTGGCCAACATCCATCCCCGGTCTGTGTCAATGGTTCGATCCTCTCTGTCCTTGTCGGTGTCACGGTCTACCATTAGTCAGCGAGATTGCCAAGGATTGACGAGGCTGCGGCACAGCCTCGTTAACTAGCGCACACAGTAGATATCACTGTCGCAGGTCGCCGACGACCTTTTCAGATAGATCCTCGTACTGGAATTCATATCATACTTGCACCCTAGACAGCTGTAGACAGCCTGATCAGGCTGCGCCGTGATAGTCAGCAAGTCCAGACTAGATACACGTAAAATTGTCACTAGCTGGCTTCGGCGGTTCTGACGGCTGACGAGGCTTGGATTCCTCCGGAGCTCCGGCAGGGCATTCGGTCCGAGCCTGCTGTTGAGGGATTGGATTGGCGTGAACAATGTCAAAAAAGCAAATGTTGTACCAATTTCTGGTACTACAGGTTATATCGTCGAATATACTTTAACAAACAAGGGTTTCTGTGCATGCTTGATGGTTGCTTTGCAGCTGCGTTGGGAGCCTGGTTTGCAATAACATACAATATCGCTCGAGCTGTGCATTCCGGCAGCACCAGCTTCGGGCGCCATCTGCCGTGGAAAGATGGGATTTGCGTCAACGATTGTTTCTTGAGGATGTCATGTGTAACTTTGAGGGCTGCATTGCAGCTGTGTGGAAGATTTATGGCTGAGATAAGAGTCCCGGGATCTGCTTGTTCCAGCGGCAGCAGCACGAGCAGCGCGAGAAGCACGAGAAGCACGAGAAGCACGAGCATCAGCATCAACAGCCCCAGCAGCCCAAGTAGCTTCGGAGGCGACTTGTCTGGGCAAGGTGGAATGGCAGGGCGGGGTGGTGATCTTGCAAGATTGGCGTCTGCTCCTTGTCTTTCGCCTGAGAGGATTAAACGACTCTCAGAGTACTCTTGTTCTGTACGTAGAGGATGGCCGCGACTGCTGTCCTGCCATCCGCAAGTGCAATGCCATGTCGCAGGCTTCGAGGTTTCCCCTTATCCTTCACAATGAAGACTTGCATGGCGAAGCCAACATTAAACATCCATAGATAATCCTCGAGGAACTGTTTGTGATTAGGCACCTTGCCGTGAAACCCTGCGTAAACGAGAGCAACATGATGGTTCGACGAGAAACTCTTTCATGTCCCCAGTTAAAGGGTGTTCGGATTGGTGCCCTTGTAGGGAGGTAGATGTACAGAGATCGTAGCCGTTGGCGGAGATCAAGAACAGTCTGGAACAGCTATTCATGTCCTTCGCCAGATGAATGATTATTCTTAAACGATCAAAACCCTTATGTAATCTCGGTCAAGTTTCGGCTTCCACAAACTCAGGGGTGCCATGACTCTAGCGCCAGATGAAGGTTAAGCCCAACGCGTTGAACGGGCCGGGCCGTTCAACCGACAAGAAAAATGCGGGGTGAGGAGGAGTGGGGGCTGGCCGCTACTTTGCCAACTGTAGCTTTTCTTGGCGCCAGAAATTTTGTTTTCCCCTTTTCCTTCCTTTTCGGTAAAGATGGGGCCCTGTTTCGACTTCTTGGCAGAGGAATATCGCGGTCCACGCACCATCGCGGTCGAGGCACACGATTTCGAGCAAGTCAAACTGTTACTCAAGTCGAACACTGGGAATGACGAGCAGTCCGATGACGACAGGACACTGGCTATGCGTACCGCAGTCGAAAATGACGATATCGAGATGGTGGATCTCTTGCTGCGCCAAGGTATCACAGCGAAGCTAGACGATTTACCACTGCTGTCCGACGGAACAACACTTCTATCCCCGAGCTGATGTTGCTGGATAGGTATGACATCAATGATCCGGGAGAGAGTGACCTGTTTCCACCACTTGCGTGTGACCATATTCTCTTTCTCACATCAGTATTTGATTCCAATATCCGAAACAGCTTTGTCGTCGGACCCTAGAGCTCGTCACACAACTATTCGACCATGGTGCCGACCCAATGGTGAATCTACATAAGGGATGATCCGCTTTCCTTCGCAGCGGCAAATGCCGCAAGAGAAGTGATGGGACTAATGCTCGAGTAAGGTGCCTCCTCAAAAAATGTTTACCCATAACAACTCGTAGTCAGGGCCGATAATCATCGAACATGTCAATCATCAGTTCGCGCTCTGCGTGTACGAACAGAGGTAAACTGAACGCCTCTTCATCTAGCAGCGTCGGACCGATTGATCGAGCTTCTGTTGCAGCACAGGGCGCATCTGCAGATCAAGAACCCTCTTGAAGAGCTGCCATGCTTGAAACTACCTCCATTGAAAGCAAGCTTGTAGGCCAGTGTGGCCTCATAATCCGACGCAGCATGATGCAGATGCACTGCTTCAACACCACCTACAATTCCAGAAGTACCTACTTGGGGCCTGTGATTAGCCAGGGACTGTTGAATAGAGAGGCCCATGAGAGAGCCAGTTGTACGAGAAAGCGAGAGAGACACAATGTAACCCTACATCCCTGCCATAGAGATGTCCCTGGGGAATGGTCGTATCGCGGGGCCTGGCCTCGCCAGCAACAGTTTACGGGCACCAAAGGGAATCCTGTGGAAGCCCGGGATATTGTAGACGTGACTGAATTTTGTTACACCGTCCCCGTCAAGCTCCTGCTTTCTCTTTGCCTTTATCTTCCTCCTACCATCTTCTCTCTCTCGCCGAGGTCTCCACCCATTCGTCTCTTGTCCCCTTTCCATCTCTCATTGTCGAGTCCCGAAATATATATGGCCTTCGTAATACCTTTGGTTACCAGCCTTGGAGAGACAAAAGAAGCATTGAAGCCATATCTGACATCCAAGAAGGCCTCATGAGGTCGGATCATTATCAGGTCTACGCAACGTTGAAACAAGGTAGTCATCGAGGAGACCTAGATATACATCTTGGACAAGGTCAGCCTGCCAGGCAGGTTTTGAGGCGAGAATGCGCAAGGCCGACCAGTCTGTTGTTCATGTCCATGAAGATGATTCAGGAACTTGACAAGCGGCAGATCATCCGAGATATCTTCACCTGGAACCCAGTGCTCCAGAGGGCAAGAAATGAAGCAAGACATCATTCCCAACAGCCCAGTCGAAGGGGAGTCATTCTGAAAGTCTAGGCTTCCAGGACCATGAGAATGTGTCTGCAGGCAAAATGAACAGCAAATGCGCACGGTCAATGTATTCTACTCTCCCTACCCTCCAACGCGATACGCATCGCCAAGATCCCCCCACGTAGCCGGCAGACTTTCCCAATTTTATTTCTTGCGATGGGACTTTCCCTGTGGGAGATTTCCGGCCCTCAGCGCTTTTGGTCAGCTTATCCGTGGCGGCCCGTACACATTGAGGGCCGAGCCGCGCAGCCACTCGGAATCAGTCCCCAGGACCGACTAAAATAAGCTCCCGGCCCCTCCCGGACACCGGCGCTCCACCAACCCCGCTTCATCGGACGAGCGGATAATCGGAGCCACACAGTGCTCGAATACCTTACCCAGCAGAACATCAATCTAAACACTCTCAATTCATCTCCCCCCAGCTTCACGTGCAATGACGACTGGGTTCCGATCGAACAAGTTGCGCAATGGGATGACTTGAAATTTTCAAACCTCGTTGGGCGTAACCAAGACAAGCTTGCAGCAGAAACAGACCATCCGAAAACCGTTACCCTTGCTGAGGTAGCTGGCCATAACATCGTCGGCGGTGAGAAAGCCTTGGACATCCTGCTTGGTAGCACAAACGCTTCGATGGTATCTCAAGCTCTACCACCTCACCTTTTCTTAGCGCATGGGTTGAGAGTAATAGCCTCTGCTGAGGAACGCCCGGATTGGGGTGGTGGCAGTCCCCGGGCTTCAATATACACGTCCACAACGAGTGTCCCATGCCCTTGTCTGTGGAGATGCAAAACTAACTGGGATGTTCATCAGGCGATGCGATTCGCGAACCAGGGAGAAGGCGGGAGGACCATACGAGAAGTCCGGGTGACGAAAGCCCGATATAAGAAGACAGCTTCATGGAATCAAACCGGGAGAATTGACGTTCAATGACCACCTCAACCATTTGAGCCTTGCCATTCGAGCCTTTGCCATTCGAGCCTTTACCATTCGAGCCTTCAGGCCTACTCTATCTACAACGGTGACAAGCTGCTCGACTTGATGAGGAAAAGGGGTTTCAGATTCGAACATAGCTCGCAAAAAGCAACCCGGAACTAGCGTTGAGAACCAGGAACCAGGCAAAAGCCAAAATCGCTGTTTTAATTCAAAGCCGAAGTTTTGGTGCTTGAGACTTTCTCCTCAAGATGCAAGACCACCTGTGCGATGACTTGCTCTGTAGAAGAGACAAGCGAAGCAATCCTTTGGCCAGAGCTATGCACGTCTGTGTAGGACGCCGCTATAAAATTATCCAGACGCTTAGGAACGCTGATCATCCAGGGAGCAGATTTGCGCGATACTCCCGGTTCTAGGGAGAATCGAAGAAAGAGAAGGGAAGAAAGGTTCTTTGAAGTTGGCGAGATGGACATAAACGGGATTAGTACGACACAAACTATCATTGATGACGCGCACTGAGAAGATAATCAGATGAATTTCAAAAGAGTATACTGAACTTTGCAAAGCCTCGCACATCGTCTCCTCCCTCGTCCCAAAAAGCCTTCTGAGGTGATTGAAAGGACAATGGTTCTGCGCCCTAGGAGCCCGTCAGAAATGGAAGGAAACCAGGAGATGATGAACGTACAATTCAAGCGTAGTAATTTGAGCATCGCGTCGTTCCACTGTCTGAGCAATTCTTAGATACCGTAGATGATGAGACCCTTCATCATGGACGGCCGGTCTGGGGTGAATCTGTATGCTCGATTAAAGTCATACAAGCGCTATTTCGTCGACGTAGAGACGGGAAGTCCAAAGCAGTCGCTTTTCGCATCGCTGTAGGATATTCTTAGTGATTGTAGGACCCGGAGCATTTCCAGGCGTCGTGCGCAAAGGCTCAGATACCAGCGCTGCTCCACAGACGATTATCCGAATGGTAAAGCCTTTTTGAATGCGGGCTTGAAGTTGTTCAGGCAGATGGGACTACCCTTGAGCATCTGCGGACCGCAAGCCCAACCACCGTGGTTACTTGTGTCAAACCAATTGCGTCCAGTGTCTGCTTAGAGGAACCGGACAAAGGTCCAACCACTTCTTCGCACGGTGTTTGTCCGTTCAAGACGAGGTCGCCGTCTTTCCCTGTGCATGACCGATCCTCTCTTCTTCGCGTCCGCTTCGATACAAGCACACATTTGCAGCGAGTGCAAGCTGCTCAGCCTTTCTGCTTGCTCAAGTCTGGAAACATATCTACAACCAACAAAACCTGCCGCCAGATTGTATCTTCAACATGAAGTGCCTTGTTGCTTGAGCCGGTGTTGCCATTCGACTTCTCTTCCACCCCACGGATAATGTTTTGTGAATTCTCTCAAGATCTGCTAGGTATACCGTTGTCGCTGCACGATATGTACAATGACCCACTTCACAAACAGAGAAAATACCTACGACCGGTCCTCTGGATTGTACATCACTTTCCATGACCGTACAGAGGTCTTGTTTACACATACAGATTGGATTTGGACGTTGGAGTCCCATAATATCCATCTCTTTTTGGTCTCGTTGCTATCGCAATTGCAGGGGAGATGTATGAAGTGAGTTTCATAGCTAAAGGCCCTTGAAGGTGTGTGACTGCGAAATCATTTTGCAACCCTTTTCGCTCCGTCCACGGGTGTTTCAGGCACATTCATTGTCTGATATCAGAGCGCAACCCGAATTTCGTCTCTGTAGATTTGACTGTTTGCCAATATAGCTCTGCCAAATGACACTTTGTCCAGGTCTGGCAGAGTCCAAAGGGAGTGATCCTATTTAGACCGCCACGTCGTCTCTGCCATTCCCATGAGAACAGTTCAAAGATTTTTAGGGACCTCAGTCGCGCTGTTTCACCTGCCGAATCTCGGCCGGCCAACTTTCATAATATGTTCCTGTTGAAATTGGACTTACAGAACGGAATCTGGAGGTGGATGGCCTCGGCAAGTTGTACACTTTCCGTCATGATCTTCTTGAGGATATCAGGCAGCTTCACGTTGTCTGCAGGTAGTGTTGTCTCGGATAGCTTCCGCAAATCTTTGTATATCTTTGTCATCAAGTGTACACATCCCCTTGCCGAAACATGGGCAACCTTCGCACATATTGTGAGTAAATGGCCCTCAATGCATTCCATGTTCATTAAAAACTTTGCTGAGTGAAAAGTCAACGCTCATTTTTCCCAAAAGCAAAGCGTTGGTTTACACAAGAACCAAGATTGCAAAAGTTGGCCCATTCAATACCAACAGGATGGTAACGCCTCGCTCGTTTATCCTGCTCCGTCTGCAGTTTCTGTTTCGTCTATCATCTCTGCTCCGTCTTCATCCTCAAAGCCCCGATCATCTTTCCAATTCAAAAATTGCGGCTCTCCAAGATCATATCACTCGTCGACGCTGTTGGAAAGGAAGTCAGCCAGTGCCAAACAATACCACCAACTTATGAAGACAAGTTTGAAGTGGGTTTGCAAATAATGTTCAGCTTCCACATACGCCTGGTTCGTCAGGAGGTTCGGCAGAGAACACTCGGTCAGTGTTGACCCATCAACCCTCAGCACCATCACGCCAGCAGGATAGGCGCAAGCCGATCGCTCTCCGGATAAAGGTATAGAAGCGGTCTGACAATTCCTTACCAGGAACTCAAAGGCTGGTACGTTTCAGAGCGCGCAAGCTCGAGAGGTGTCCGCTCTAGAATGTGCATCAAAACCAGAATGAGAAAATCCAGGCGGAGCATGTCGACCAAGTACATGGGCAGGGAATTCGAGGTCGCCGGAACCCACCACCGAAAAAAGTGGGTAAATTCCGAAACCTTTGAGTTTTGATCTGAAAACATCGAGTCCACGCATCACGTGACCTTCGGCTGCACTCTTTCTCCCCTCCAATCCTTCGCCTTCAGTAGGTCTTTTTCCGGAACCTTTTGAGCATGCCCCGGCAGAATCATTGGTTACACTGCGGAATGTGGGTTCTGGAATACATCCCTGTGAGAGAGCAACTACGTCCATCCGGCCAGGCGATAACAGATGGGGTGAGAGAGCACCTGGATCTTCGTCGACTCTGGCCAAGGAGTTTGCAAATGGAACAGAGAGCCCGCGACAAGAGTTCGAAAAACTGCGGAGGCCCATAGATTGAGCAGATGATGGACATATATGAAACGAGAAGCATTCTTGGGCAGATACTAGCACAACTGAAGCCTCCCTCTTACCTCTTACCGATTCCTAGCAGGGCAGACTTGTCTGCGCCACAAAAGAGCAGGAGTCCATGCGAGCCTTTCACGCAGGCTTTCCCATGCTAGCTCATCAATGTGGTGGAATTGCTCCTAGACCACTGGTCCGTCGAATCAGTCAGTCTCACTAACACGCGCAGACCTCCCTGAAATTTGACCCTTGACCGGAAGAAAACGTGAGGAAAATACACAGTTTGTACCCGACCATCGTTGCTGTCACTGCGGGTTGCGGTTGATCGGCGCCTGCAGACGCTGGCGCTCTTCCAGGGACAAAGTGCGAGTACAAACATCCTCGATTCGATGCAAATTTCAATGAAATGTTTCTGTGTGGTTACAAAGAATGTCACGGAATGCGCCAACAACAAAGAATGTCAACACTTGAGACGACGACGAGAATCCCCGAGCACGACCTAGTGTCCCACAGTTTCTGCGCGCGTGCACAAACTTCCACTCAATTCGGCATACTCGATGAAAACGAGCGGCTGACCCACGTCGAGCGTCTACGGAGTGGCCAGCATCCAGTGTTCCTGCGGCATGAGAGCACAGAGCTGGACCGTGCGCGCCACGAAGCCACGATCTGCAACTTGATGGGGTGAACCGCAATCTCGTCAGAGCGTCGATTCTGAGCTTCATACAGCGTACGCCACACACTCTACGTCTGTACCGGAAGGGTGCGTTGGTTGTCAATGATTCTGGCTCCCTCTGGTGAGCGACCTGGCGACCTGGCGACCCAGTTATACCACAGCGTCTGGCTCCTAGAGCAAGAGGTGCGGCTACCAATCCAGCGGAGCGCAACGTATGCGGAAAACTAGCAAAAGATACAAATTCAGACTGAGAGTCGAGGTAGGAAAGCGGTTTCCGACCAAAGATGGTGTTTGGTATCTCTAGAGATATTCTTCGAACAATTTTCCCAGACCTCTTCGTGACGAAGCCGGTAGTCGATCCCAGGGCGAGTAAGCTTGTGCGTTTCAAAAACCTTTAAGTAATCAGACTCTTTTCTTTCCCCCCATCTACTCACATTCGCCCCAAAATAAGGTGTTTTGGCTGTTGTTATTTTGCTTGCTCCATATCTCTTTGTCTCCACTGCAGAAGTTTATGCAGCGCGAGGACAAAGGAGCTCTCTGTGTTTTGTGCCCCGTTTGCAGCGTGATCAGCGTGATCAGGTCAGAGCGCACTTCTTTGTCCGAGCAAACAAGTCTTTGAGAGAGCAATCAACAATGAATGTCATGCTAAACGGGAAAAGAAGGGCTTTTCGCCTCTTGCATCTGGTCAATCTATCTATCTCACCATTAAGGCCGTTCAGAATATCAATTAACGACAGAATTGGCAGCAACATGCACCATCTACTCGTCCCAAGGACCGATAACAGAGACAAGGTCTATCTCGACAGAATAGTCCCTCTCAACGACAAGGCCATCGCACTCGCACAAGCCGGCGACCACCAGAGCGCCGAAGAGCTCTATCGACGGCTTCTTCGCCTCAGCCAAAGTCTCCTTGGACCCCATCATCGCGCGACCCTCACTAGTATCAACAACCTAGCCACTTCGTTAAGCAGGCAGGGCAAGTATCGAGAAGGCGAACACTTACATCGCGAGGAACTGAGACTGAGCATCGATCTGTTGGGCGAGGCGCACCCAGACACCTGGGCCAGTATGAACAACCTCGCGGCCGTGCTCGTCGACCAGGGAAGGGACGGCGAGGCGGTGCGTGTGCTGCGTCGTGTCGCAGCCATCAAGAGAGACGTCTTGGGAGATGGTCATCCCTCGACCAAATCGAGTGTCGACACGCTACGTCGGCTTGTGGCGAACTGTTGACGCTTGGAGATATTCCCTCCGTTGGATTTGCTTGCCAACCTTGCCACTTATCTCATGATAGGGTAGATATATCGTACACGCCCCGTTAATCACAGTCAGGCCTCCAAGGTACGCCAGAGTGTGCGCGACGAATGCTCCAGCACTTTTCCTCTTCCTCCGCCTCCTCCTCCTCCCCTTCCTCCTCTTCCTGCTGTCCAGTTCTCCCGGTCACAAACGCCCTCTGGCCCTCAAATCGGCGTTCAAGATGCTCTCATGGAGCCGTGCAGATCAGCTGAGTGTTGGCGGATGGTCGTAACGTTGGCACTTGGAAATCATTCAACGTCTATTATTGACCTCATTGATTCGAGCACCAATGGAGTCAACAATATGCCTCTCTTGGGCAAATACCTGGCCCGCGGTTGCTGCCTAAAGGTCGTGTGGTCACTATCTTTACTACAAGCTTTCTGTCAGTTTGAGGCACTGAAATCGCATTAATGTTTATGTCACCGTATCGACCCAGAGAAGACGCAGGCAAGGTCCTTTTGTCATCGGCGTGGGGGATCTGTACAAAAGCATGAGTGCTTAGGCGTTACGACGGCCTTGCCATCGGCCATTCGATCCCTTTTCCCACTCCTCCCCTTCAAAGATGCCACCCGAGCGAGTGTTGTATATACTGCAAGATTTCCCATTCGAAAGAGATATTCTGTACACTGTGCTGTTTGTGGATAAGAAGGATCTACAGTATTCTCAAGATGTAACACGAATCAACACAATCCTGATTCTTTGTGAGATCGCAGGACTCGACTTGAACTGCGCAGTTGGATATGCCATATGACTGATACTTCACTGGCAGCTTGTAAGGCTGGGAGCATGAAAGGAGACGTGAAGATAGATTGCGCGACATTTCTACTGCATTCATTGGAAGCAATTGCAGTGCCTTGGAGAGCAGCCTCAGTGAAGCTGTCTTAGTGGGCTTGAAAAACTTTTCCACCCCGTCTCCTCTTTTTTCTTCCTCAGCCCGTCCTAAAAGTCAAGTCCTGATCAACGTCCGAACTTTGCAAAAAGATGGACAGCAAGACAGATAAGAGCAGACGAAGGTTGCTGGGCCTACCTCGTGCACATTCCCGTCAGAAAATGCAACTTCGAACCGTGAGCCTTTACTCCCGTCCACGAATCATCGACACAAATACGAAAGAGCATCAACCACATCCTCCAAGCACGAAAGGGCAACAATCAAATCCGCTCGTGGACCTTCCCCTCGAATTAGTCCTAACAATTGCGGGATACCTGGACAAAGAGTCGCAGAACCTTCTGGCTTTCTCCTGTCGACGTTTCTATGTCGCTCTTCACTCCAAACTCGACTTGACCCTTGAAAACAAGGACGCAAAGCTACGGTTCCTGCGAGTTCTGGAAAATGACTACCCGAGATATCTGACATGTCCATTCTGCGTTGTGATGAATCCTTGGGCAAAGAGGGTCGGCCGCCCCTTCGAATGCCTGCATGTCGAGCGTCACACGTTTCTCGATTATATCGTATCCAAACCTTCTTTCCTCAAAAAGTTGTACATGGATGTTGCGATAACGCCTCGAGTGGTCGACCTCATCTTGCGAGCTTACGATCTTGGTCCTAAGTACGGCTTGCCTGTAACTTACCTGAACTCAACTATCCGGCATAAAGGTATCCATCTTGCAATGCCTGTCTCTCAGTCAAATGAGGCACGAGTGGTCGACGGCCAGCTTGTACTGTATAGCCGAATGGCGGCAAAGGCCCTCGATACGTGGTTGCAGCCGAGCCAATTTCGCGACTTCGTATATCCGACTCAGACCTCGAACGTGTGTCTACATTTCACTCAACAGATACAGAACGAGATAAGATCTGGAATCAAAACATCACAAGAATACTTCAAGGAGTTATGGTTTCTCTGCACCATAGTGGTTGAAGGACCCAGCGTGGACGTCCTCCTCAAGTGTCGCTGGTGCGAGACAGATTACCGCCTGCACCTGATCATCGGTGAAACCCCTGAGGAGGAGGACTGGCTGATTTTCGAAGTTTGGAGGAACTACGGACGAAGATATGACGATAGAGTTGCGGTTAAGCAGATGTTTCATCAAGCACTTCTGGTGAAGCCGGAGCAGGAAGAACTCACAAGAAGGAATGTACAAGCGATCTTTGAGTCCCAACCAGCGTCTCGTCCACGCCGAAGAATCTTTTGGGTCGGTCAGCAGTTCAGAAGGGGCTAAAGCCCTTGACCAGGTGGAAATGTAAACAGCACATGACTGTAGAGCACACGGAAGACCGAGATTAAACGACCAGGGGACAACTGCGGCCGATCGTGGCATATCAACAGAATAGATCAGATTGGTGCAGGCTCTCAGATCAACAGGGGGCTTGGTTGTGTCATTGTCTGTCAGGGGTTGGGGAATGAAGCGTCTGTCCGTCTTGCTGGGTTCCTCTACGGTGCGTTGTGGCCCGAGCAGTTGAGCAAGCAAAAGCAAGCAAAAATGGCTTCTTGGTGCTGAGGTGGATATCATGGTCGAAAGGATCAATAGATAGATAGCCAGTCTCCAGCTTTGTAATGCATTAATTTGTTACTGATACGCTTCTTTCCAGTTTGCTTGACTGGCAGGCTGAGTGTCCCTTGGATCATTTCTCAAGGTGTCTGGCTCGCCAAACCTATGGTGTCTAGACCGCGTCCCAACAACAAATTATCACCCATAATCTCTGCGAGAATAACTAACTCCCCAATTCCTCTTTCCGTGGCGCATTTCTTCTTCAATATGACTTTTGTTCTTAAGTTATAACTTGGTCCAGTGACGGTTCCCACAGAAGTCAGCAAGCACTATCCTCCGTCTCAATCTCAAGGACGGGCAGCTCGACGCCTAAGGAATGGGTTTGAGATAAGGTTTAGCACTAGATTGGGTTCGAGATTGGGTTCGAGATTGGATTTGACTCGTTTGGGATTGCCGTTCCCTTCCACCTTGGTCCTTGGTTTAGAGATTACGAGGTTGCCAGGTTCCAGCAGCCAGGCACTCGCAGGTTTCCAAGGGAGAGATATGCAACGAGCTCAAGAAGTTCCGTCCCCTTTTAAGCTTCCCGTTAGGTGACACAATGACACAAATGAGCCTGCTTTCCAACGCTCTGGCTCGACGATGCTACATTTAGCATCCTGGCGAGCTGGCTGCGCTATTCGTTCCCCTGAAACGAAGTGCATCTGACAAATGAGCCGGAGCAACCAACTCGTCAAGCTGAAGAATCAAAGTCTCTGCATCTGTACTTCAACCTGTGCGCAGCTTCCAGTGTTCAGCATGCCATTCAGTCAATGGATACCCGACTGGGCGATCCTCTTCAACCTAGCCCTGAGCGATCCATCGGCCCCCTCCAACGCTAGTGACGTCAATGGCGTTCGTCCGCGTTCCGCGGTTTCCGCTCTGAGTCTCCCTTCCTCGTGTGCCGATGTCCACAACCTTCTGCACTAGACACTGTCCCTCCCAAGTCGCTCGGATATTGAAGAGCTACATCCTGTCGATATACCTGGAGGAATTCTCAGTTTGGCGCCTGGCCGGAAAGAATGAGAAATTGGGAATTCACAAAATCAGCATCGGATCGAATCGCCCCAATTTTTGCCAGATCTCAAACCACTTCCCCTCCGAATGGCTGGGCTTTGAGGAGTATCGCCAAAGTGGCAGGCAGCGAAACTGCCTGCCTGCTTTTGTTTAGGCTGGGCCTATATGCTTTCCGCACGTCTGGTCGAGTTGAGAGCAGAGTCGGAGAAAGATCGTATTTGCTTTTCCCGACAGAGGGCTACATGCAACACCTTAGAATCACCGGGCAACGGCGACAAAGAAGTTTCATATCTATTGGCAGAGTGGATGACACCGAATGTCGATGGTGGGTAGCCATCTTAGCCAGCATAAGTGGATGGCACGCAGAATTTAAACGATCTGGTCGACAATTTTTCCCCTCGTGGTCGTGCCATCTCCTGAGTGGTGACGGCCGATTCCAGATCCTCTAATCCAGACGATGAGCTCTTTATCCACAGCTCCCAATCCTCCTTCTTCCGAGGAGGTGCTGTAATATCTCTACAATTTTGCAAAAGCAGCACAAGGCCTACGACCAACTCTTAACCGGTTTTGTTGCTGCGCTGACAATACCCGGCAAGGGAAGATTCGCCGCCCCCATCACCATACCCCGGCCGAAGGCCATGCGAACAATCAGTTCGATTGCGCACTCGACTATGCTCAAATCTTTACCTAACACTGATCAGCTGCTACATTTATGTTATTTAGCTGTGTGCTAGATGCAGCAGCAACTTGCGCGCTCGGATGCCTTGGGAGTCCAGCGCTACGTACATTCTTGTTAGAGAGTGGTTCTTCCCTCCTCTGGACCAGATTGCTTCAAGCCTGCTGCGGGAGAAATGACATGATGCTATCGTTCGCATCATGGCCACCCGTCGGCTAAAACCTGCACCGCTGTGACTGGGCTCAGCAATTACCGGTCTATTGCCTAGGTTGTTGGAGGTTGCTAGGACGTATCCGCGTTAATTTCTCTTGAAGCCGCGCAAAAGACCCTGTCTACGCAATCATCCACGACCCATGGCAGAACCGGAAAGCACATACCCTCAAAAGAAGCAACGATCCCAGGCTGCTTTGCCGTGAGGACGGGATCTGCCTCATTTACCAGACTGATACTGAGTCGAGGGACCTTGATCAGTCACAAATATGTCCCTGGAGACGTTTTGGGACAACAGATCTCAGAGACACAGCCATCAAGGTACAGAATCACCCTTTTTTGTCAAAAAGCAAATGTTATCAATTTCTTGGTACTACAGGTTATATCGTCCAATATACTTTCAACATTTTTGTGGCCATCGTCTGGTGTATCGCCACTGGATTTGGCAAGGAAATGGGGTGGGTGTGTGACTGATCTAGGAATCACAGCCGAGCCGAACAGGACGCTGGCACAAAGTTCCCTCCTTCGCACTCCGCTCTTGCTGCTTGGACTCCCTCCAACAACATGGCTGTATTCTTCAGGCCTTATTGTGACCATTACTTTTGGCGCTACGGGCTGTTTGTTTAGATCAGGAAACATTTTGTCTAAGTGTGCTACCCAAAATATGTTCGGCCGGGCGTTGCAGGATGGAACAAAGCCTGAGGACTCTGCAATGTAGAAACAATGAGTGGCTCGAGATCCAACTAGTACTCTGGGGATGATGTGGATGACCGCTTTGCGTCGGAATGAACCAACAAAGCAACACCATCAATCAAACTGTAATATCGATTCCCTCCTCCATCCGTAATCGAACTGATGTGCAGACCTCGTTGACGAGCCCATTCCGCCAAAAGTGGCCTTGCAGCATTAGCTCTGACCCAACCACCGGGCCTTGTTCCATCAGGTCCGCGGGCTAGACGCTCCGAGCATTCGGCTCGCGGTGTCGGTTAATCGATCGAAGGGTTGCTGCCGAGATATCCGACGTGACTGGGGTGATGATTCCCACTTTAGGCTTAGCAGAAGCTGGGAAGCTGGACTTCGTGGCAACATCGGCTCAACTGCCCGCGCACGATGCAGTCAAGTTGCAAAACAGCCAGCTCGGTGCCAGTGTCATGTCACTCCAGAGGGGAACATCCTTGCGTGTGAGAAGACGGAACCTATCAGATTCACACGTAGCCGCGCTCAGCAGTGACGCGCAGCCTCAAGAGCGCGCGCCGACGACGACCTCCTGTCTTTCCCGCAGGCATTTACTGTAAGGCTCGAGAGCAACGGTCGTGACAGGACTTTGGAATAAGAGAAGCCTGGGCTCCATTGGCAGTGCTCAGAAACACTCCAAGAGTACGCTAACCCCGGAACGAGGCAAGGAAATCTTATCAGCGAACAAGGCCGCAAGAGTAGCTCGGACAACAACAACACTGACCGTATCTAGTATGAAAGCCATCGATTGCGCCTTCCACCAGCACAAGACGTCCTCTCTGAAGGAGAAACGGATATCCGAGCCTTTGAACTATACGAAAAGTGACGACAGTATCTGTTGTGAAATGTGTCCATTCTGCCTAGGGCACGGGAAATTGAACTCCCAGCGACAGCTCACGCTTTATCACACAATACCAGTCATCCAGGACCACAGAGTAGCAACCCCACTCGACTGTCACCTTGCACATGTTCCACCGAGAGCGACATCTGAGAGCGTCCAGTGATCGCGGTGCTAGCGAGTCTGAATCGCTAGTAGTCGTATCGAGCCTTCATGAGACTCGGGTGAGAGCCTTGTCGAATGATTCGAGATGTCAATTCCGAGCAAGGCCACGAGATAGGCCCACGCCGGGCCTCCTCTCGGTGTTCAGAGGATATCAACAGGCCTGTCGCCGCTCTGAGGAGCGAAGAAAAGGACAATCACTTGCTCATGCATCGGCTGGGAAGCAGCATCTTCTTTTTCGGTCACAGAGTTCGTTACAGAGCAGTCAGGTCTGCCACTGCTAGTCTGTCCGACATGTTCACTTGAGCATCCCCGGCTTACTCCTGCGGCCACCAAACTTGAAAGAACGCACTCCCTGAAGACCCATAAGGAAGGATCAAATGCATCTGGCTGTCAAGCATGCGTTTTTCATACATGACGAACATCTCCGCCCGGGTGTTTTGGAGCCCAAATTATAAGAAGTGAAAGTATTGTCCACAGCAGCGACAAGAGGCAGCAAGCACCTGATGCACACAGCTCTTGCAGCGTCCCCAGACTCAGCGGTATACTCACACTGGCTCTTTTCTCTCAAAGGGGCACTCGAGCAAGGCATCATGCCCACTGGGCCAGGAGATGATTCTGCATCCGTGGTCGCCAGGGAGCTCGTCGAGTGCTCTCTCTTTTGCCTTCGGGCGTCGCAGACTAAGACCCTCTTGCATCCTGACAGATCTTAGCCCTCGCAGTCAAGCAAATGAGGCCATGAAGCATCATGGAAGTGGTGAATCAGGGGCTGAAATCCGCGCTTTGTCGGCTCCGATGGCTATCGGAAGCGAGGGAATCGGCTCCAATTCCGGAACCGACTATGGACGGAGCCGATGAAATTGAAGGAACCGATAATTTCCGGAAGCGAGATGGAGCGGAGCCGAATCGGGGAACCGAGTTCTCATTTCCGAATATACTCGGAGCCGGTAATTTCGCCTCCGGCGCTCACCGGAGCCGAAGGCTTCGCTTCCGATAAATCGGCAGCCGACAAAACGCGGATCTCCGCCCCTATGATTTTGGCAATCAGAAGGAAAA